TAAACAAAGAGTACCAGTACGTTAAAATACGGTAACTATATCATTTGCAAGGCCCGAATGGATTGATTTTATCGCCAGTCACTGCAAGGAATCGCTGAGCTTGTCAAGCTGCATGATCGGCAGTTGCCAGTACAAAAACAACTGTCTTCCTCGTTGAGTACACACAACCAAGCTGCCGTCACTAATACTATGCTGCGCCCAGTACAATCGATGTATGCGCCTACGATGAGCTTCATTGTGATCCGCGAGCAGGCTGTGTACAACTAACTAAGTATGTGTAAACAAACCTTTGCGTGTAAGTTGCGCAGGGCATTTACGGAGCTTAGCCGCTGGTTAACCTGAAACCGATCCGAGATGAGTACTATGAGCCTATGACCAGCGAGCGATCCGAAGGTAACATTGCTCCGCGGAAGGATCCGAAAATTTCTTGCTCGGTATCTGGATCCGATGAAACAGCTGCTCCACGAACGGCCGGTCGCTCGTACACGGTTTCCCGGGCGGACCCCGGCGCGTATCATCGGACAGTGAGCTGACGCCACGCGCACTGAGGTGGGATCCGATATTATCGGGGAGGAAACGTTGGGTGTAAGGAAAAGGGCGGAAGTTACACATCTCACTCCGCACTGGAGATCAGGAGCATATCTCAGGTTGGCAACGTTTCTCATCTGAGATCGACCTACTCAAATCACGACTGCAACTCGCGGACATGTTGAGTGGGTCGGCATTCTTCCCCGCCCCCGGGGAAGTATACGGGAGAGGTTAATTTTATAGCATGTAAGTCGACATGTTGGTTTCTTTGAAATTTCAAGCCACACAGTTACCGAAACGAAACATACAAATCATGTGAAATGTGCACGAAATGTTGATGTTTATCTTTTCCAGCACGCGCACTCAATTTTCACACTGCTATTGCAACATATTGTTCAACACGATTAAATAACAGGCTTCTATAAAGTATGACTTTGTTCAATAAACAACACATGTAAAACAACGGGTTTGATATGAGAAATTTTTTATTAGTTGTCTTCATAATCACATGTATGGCGCTTGCTGTGCATAGTTGAGCACAGCCATATTTTTTTAATACTTCACTGTATGTAATGTATGGTACATACCGTTTCATGCGGCGGTTTACGTTTCTGCATGGTTTATTGCTTTGACAAAAAAAAAATTACTTCCAGCAGAGATCATACACCCGTATATGTTCTTTGCTTCTGGATACATAGGAAATCAACATGTTGGTCTGTAGTTTGCAATTATTTTCCAAAAAGATAATACGGTTGCATGATATTTTCACGATGTTTGGGTTGAACATAGTAACATTCTTCTAAACAAATTTCAAATCTAAGCCGGAAGCAATCACAACACGAACCCAGTTAACCAAACGGAACCATACACAAGAGTGAGTGAGGTAGTTGGGTTTAACGCCGTCTTGAATAGTATTCCGTGTCAGCTTGATGTGGGAGGAAAGTCTGAAGTGATGCAGGTCTTAGACGTTCACCACTTTGGTGAAACCAACGAGCAAGGGTTTTGTGCTGACAACAAAATCGGGGCGAACCGAGATTCAAACACACTGTCATAGGTTTCTGGCGTACCAAAGGGACACAACTCTGCATAGCGAATTGCAGCCCCGTAAACAACTGTAAGAAACTATTATACAACAAAGATGTTTTAGATGAGATATGTATTGCGGAACATTCCATGAAGAAACAGTCGCAATATTACGCAATCACAAACTACAAAATACATGCACAATTAACGACAATTAAAAAACACAGGAACATTCAACATTCAAAGGAGGTACATTATAACAATTTTATTTCAAAAACAAGTGTTTTATAATGATATGGAAACAATATGAGAATGTTGTACATACATGTACAAGGAATTTGCTTGTAATTGTTGATATGTTAACAGATCTTGGAAGTTGTTTCTGGATAACTGTTGGTAAACTTATTAAGAATCTGCTCCTTTTAACAGAGTGTACCAAATTCTTTATCATGATTGGGGATTATTTGTGATTCTCGTTCTTGGTTGTATTATGTAAGACAGTGCGAAATGTTGTTCATCTTCTGAGACATCACATGTTTCACAGAGACGTTGTTCAAATGGGGTTGGTGTTTTAGTATATCTACAATTTTTTCAATTTTTAGTTTGTGATTACTTAAACGAAGTTTTGAGAAAAGTGACCTATGGCCTTTGTATTTACAATATTGAAGATAATTCTCAATATTTATAGATAACGCGACCAAACTGTATGTTCCTAACTTGCTGCTAGATAAATGAGAATCCATTAATGATTGCGTGAATTTTTACATTTGAACAGAAGTATATTTAGAGTGGATTCATTACATTTTTTGTGTTTACTATTTTAAAAGTTTGCTTTATTTAACCAAACCAACATTTTGACCAGAAATATTGATATTTGCTGCAAAAGCATACTTTAGAATGACATTTGTTGTGTTATCTATATAGGATTTTTTTTATTGGTACTAATAGTGGGTATATATCAAGTTTTGCCTGACAGGCCCAGTTTTCTTGCCTGGGTTTTCTTTGTGCTGACCAATCAAAGACACTGTTTCTTTTATTGTGCTTTCCAAAGATAAGTACATTAATAACAACCAATTTGTACTTAACACAAATTCTCTCCTCCCATAGCTTACACTTCCTTCCTCTGCACATAACATTATATTGCGGGGGGCTATTGATGCTCTGCTGCAATCTCTACTTGTATCTGATGTGATAGCGATGTATATATATTCCAGTCAAAAAGAGACCTCTTCCCTCTGTGAGCAAACTCAACACTTGATCTGCCCAACAATATTATCAATATGTGCGTGCAAATTTGAAAGAATATTATTGTGAAGATAATATTTTAAATAAGTAAGGTTCACAAAAATATGATATCACAAAAATATATTCAAAGATGGAAACTATATCACAAAAATATATTCAAAGATGGAAACTATATCTTTCCTTTAACATAACGGAAAAATATTGGCAAATGATTAATCGTCGCCGTCACAGATATAATGTGTCCTCAAAACAAAAATGGTTCCAATACAATATTATTCAAAGAATTATACCAACAAACGAGTTGCTGTATAGAATGGGATATAAAGAATCATTTCTTTGCAAAATTTTGTAAACGAGAAAAACAAACATTAATGCACATGTTCTTTGATTGTGAAATTGTAAAACATGTCTGGAACAACCTTGCAAAACTGGTATAGAGCTAGAATTTTCAAAATTGACAGTTTTATTAGGATATCAAGAAAAACGAAATGATGTTTTAAATCATATTATAACTGTAACAAAGCAAAACACACATTCAAATCAAACATTTCCGAATCCCTACCAAATTTCCAACATCAAACAAGAAATAACCAACTCATATCACATCGGCAGAAAAATAATATTCACAATGTAAATAAATACACCAGTTCATAACATTTTGGTCACTCTGTCACCATCTATTCGAGTAAAACCTACGAACTTACACAATTTCAACAAAGATGTCTTGCCATCCTGACACTGGAATAGTTTTGTTTGTTATTATCCATAGATATACTTTGTAACTTGTATGTATTTGAGTATGTATGTGAACTATATTCTGTAAACTTATTGTTTGTGTACTCAAAAAAAAAGAAATAAAATAATTGAAAAAGGATATTCGGTGGAAACTTGATTCCTTGAAGACGAGATTGGAAGGTCATGAAATCGAACCTGTGTACTTATTCCGACAGTGCTTCCTACTTTCTTAAAGTGTGAATGTATAAATACATATACTTATCTCACTGAGTGTATTTGCAAATTATTTTGCAATAAATAATAATGAAATTAAAAAAATACAGCAAAGTATACGCCATATTATTATTCAATATTTACTCTTTGCTTTGGAGACGACCCCTCTCATAATCCGGATTGTAGGCAAGGCACCGGCATGAGTGAATTCGACAACAATTCGCACGTCTCAGTAGGGGGTTGGTGAAAATTCAGTTGGTCAGAATATCGCACTCACATACCAAAACAAATAAGTTTTATCACATACATGTATTGTTACTGAAATCTAATTATATACTTTCAATGTTATGGACAACGTGGTTTTACAGACTGATCAACCAATCATATTACTGTACACAAAGACAAACTCAGATCGATGCCGTTGTAAAGTGTATTAGAGTCCAAAGAAAGTCACAGCGCAAACTTTCTTTCAAAATTCTGCTATATCCCTTCTGGCGACTTAAAATAATCACTTTATTTTTGTCACGTTTTGCAAAGAACAATTGCTGGGCTGAATGTGAATTTGGTTAAAGCCCGTGGAATCTTAAACATTTGCATCGGTGCACACCGAGTAAAAGTCTACACAACTGACCGCGAGTTGTTATTAAGTAAGTAGATAGGAATATCATAATGTCTATGTATGTACGGCATCTACTATAATAATGCTTCACCTAACAACACATGTTTAAACAAAAATTTATACATACGAAATAACACTAAAATCCAAATGGAGCTTTAAACAATGCTTAATTTGAGGCTGAGACAATCAAGACTTGCCAAATCATTCAAGACTTGAGATGGACTCCTTTTTTAATATATTTTCTAGGGTCTGGGAGACAGACTAGCCTACCCAGTTGATGATCATTTGCTTCATAAGTGTATTATTAGCACCTGAGATGCGTTGCTTTGAAAGAATAAACCCTATATTACGATAGTTCTTGTTATAAGTCTGTCCTTCAGTCCAACCTGAGGAAAAGAACGTTCATGAAACACAAGAGGGAGTAATTAGTGTCGTACATTATATTTTTACCGAGAACCGACAAGAAATAACTTAATTCATGTAGATTTTTTAATGTACATTATCTACCAACAGCTGATACAACAACCGATACAAGAATGGTGGTTGTACAAGTTATTTATCGGGAGCACTGTGTCAAACGAGGGCGTAAAAATTCCGCAATGATTGCTCCCACAACCAATGGAATTTTCCACTTGGAAATTCCCCACGACGGCAATGTTTTCATTCACCCAGTTGTCATCGGTCAGAGAGGGTGACCGACTTGAGCGCTATCTTAACAACAACAACAACACTGCAGCTAACAAACTGTAATATAAACACTGTTCCGGATTTGAAGAAGTAACAAACAAGAATGCTCACACAACTGGATAAATTCATTACTGCCCGGGAACTTTTAGAAAACGGGCGGCTGTCATTAGGTGATATTGTCGAAATCGATCGCATCATATATTCGCATTGGGTACTCTACATCGGCGAAGACGATGTTGTTCATGTCGCAGGACCTGATTCAGACATTCCATCTTCTGAAGCCAGTGTGATCAAATGCAAACTTAGGGATGTTGCAGGTAGCAGTTTAGTCCGAATAAACAACAAACTAGTTCCCGCTCGTGAGCGCGGCTTCGCGTCATTGCCTTGTGACGTCACAGTGAGCAGGGCCCGTGGCATGGTGGGCACGATTGTGACACATAATTTAATGACAAGGAACAGTGAACATTTTGTTACAAGTTGGAAATATGGCGTTTGTTGGAGTGACCAGGTTTGTGTTTTATCTCAATGTTTGTTGAAATATGGATGGTATAGATAAAAGGTATTCACGTACTAGTGCATTATCATGATTATTATATTTTATCACACTCAGTATGGTTTTTCCCCGAACAATGTAATTAAGGTTTTGCTTGTTTGCTCTTGGCAATATTCCAGAAATATAAATAGAAGGCAGTCATTGAAAAATAAAGTCAGACAATCCTGTGATAGATATTATAAGTAACGATCCACACTTTTGGGGTACGATGACACAATCAACCAAGCTACTATGCCTGACCACCTGATCCCTAGACCCGTGAAGATCCCTAGACCCGTGAAGATCCAGTGTAGAATAGGTCTTCAGCAACCCATGCTTGCTGTAAAAGGCGACTAACAGGATTAATCTGGTTGTCAGGCTCACTGATTTGGTTGATGCATGTCATCCACCCCAATTGCGTGGATCGGTGCTCATGATGTCAGTCACTGGATTGGCTGGTCCAGACTTGATTAATTACAGACCTCCATAATAGCTGGAATACTGCTGAGTGCGGTGTTAAAAAACAAACAAACAACAGATGGAAGAACATATGTAATATATTGTGGTAGGTATCACAATACATGAATCATTATCACCATAAATTGCAATACGAAAGTCAGGCCAATACCCATGACTATAAAATATACACATGATGTAAAGGTCGGATTTTGCTCATATCACCATGGTTACAATGCCTCTTAAAGAAACTAGCCTAACAGCTGAAACTTTAAAGAATTTGATTAAAAAAACAATGTGTACCAGTGTTACAACTGAGATTTTCCTCTATTTATCTTGTTTGTTGTGTACATGTGGTTTTAACCCACTTGAGGCTCATCTATTTGCCCAGTGCTTACCTCTCTGTTAAGATGTGGGTCATTTTAAAAATCTAATAGGTTATCGTGTTAGGTAAAAATAGCTCAGTCAATATGTGAACTTGTTTGTTTCCAGTTTTGATATCAGAAGATGTCCTATTCTGTGTCCGAGGGAGATGAAACCCATGGTTAATGATGGACAGTGTTATCAATGTGATAAACCTATCCGATAAACTTGGTATCACTGTCCGATAAATGTGCAATTGATGGAAATAATGTCAGCTATCAGGAACTACTTTTAGTAAGCTCTATACATCGATGCAATGTTGACCTGGTCTTTGAACATTTGCCTAATGTAAGCAATAGGTTTAGATAGGGTTTTTTACGTGATGTGTGGGTGTTAGTGTAAATTATTTGGTATTGTCAGAGGCCGACTAGCATTGCCTTCATATATAGTTACTTATTATTTCCATAATAGAATTAGTCATTTGATATATAATTACGACAACGGTGAAACTGAGATAGACTTTGATAATAATTTCTGTTTGGGCTGAGGTTTGCAGGCTACTTTTTCATAAATACCCTGGGCCTTTTTCTCTAAGTTAGCTTTATTTTGAGTCTAAACTTGTAATGACACAAAGTAGCTGTCCTATCAAATTACACTCTGTGCTTGACAAGTTAGTGCTGTTGAGACGGAGATGGTGAAGGCACAAGCAAAGTTTTGGTTGCCAGGGTATTTGTCATATAGAATGGAAATACACTATTATCAAGGATGCACAGCTGTTAAGTTCAGATAAATACTTATGAAAACACCATCATGTCATGCCAAATAGACATATTTTTTACAACACTTTTTAAAACAATTTCATTCCCTTCCTATTAAAATCAGCATGGTCAAGGTTTGAAATGGGTTGCTTTTCTAAACATGATTCTACACAATTATTAAATTAATGAATGTTTTCATTTGCTGGCCTCATTCTCTCTTCATGTTGCTGTAATATTGCAATATGCTTGTGAGTTGTGAACCATATGGACGTCAGGTCATGTTATTGACATGAAACATGAGTCATCTGGTACAGCTGTGACACTGCACCACATATCCAGGTCACGAAAGAGGCAACGTGTGTTATGACCTGCTTTTGAATTATTGGAAATTAGGCAATGATAAAACGCCTTTCAAGGCATAGTGTTAATATTGTATCATGGGTAGTGGCACACCATGATTCTCAGCATTCAGTGTTTGAAAATAAACTTGAAAGCAATCAGCTCTTTGTCTTAAGCCGAATATTAGAAGGTGAAGGTTTAGTGGATACCAAGATTCATATGCTGTAGCAGCAAAAGTGTTAGCTCGTCACGCCCAAGACCTGGGATTGATACCATTTTCTTTCGGCAGTTATATTCTCACTACCTGCCCCCATATTGCTTGTGACCACTGTGGTACCCAGGACATAAAAGAAAGACAGGTGAAGCAATGTTTCAAGCAATGTTACTTCTGTGTGTGACCCGCGAAGATCCGGGGTAGAACAGGTCTTCAGCAACCCATGCTTGCCGTAAAAAGTGACTATGCTTGTAAGAGGCTACTAACGGGATCGGGTGGTCAGGCTATCTGACTTGGTTGATGCAATCCCAATCCCAATGTCAGGGATCAGCCTGGATTTTTTAACCTGTGAGAGAAAATCTCCCCTGGTACAAAAGCAATGAGATTTTTTGGAGTGTGATGAGATTTTGCTAATCATTAGAATAGAGATATTTGTCTTAAAACAGTTGAAACTGTATAATGAATGTATCCCAATTGTGTGGATCAATGCTCTTGATGTCAATCACTGGATTGTCTGGTCCAGACTCGATTATTTACAGACCACCGTCATAGAGCTGGAATATTGCTGAGTGCTGCATTAAACAACAAACAAACAAACGTCTGTGTGTGACAATGCATGAAGCAATACACAGGAGAAACACGTTTGTACTGTAGACTCTTCAGTCCCCTTTCAAAGAATCATCAGTGTTGTAGTTATGGTGTAGATAAAATTTCTTATTATCTGAAATATTTTGTCTAATTTTTGATGCATTGCAATGCCATGTCAGAATAGTATTCGCCAACCATTTGACCACTGTAGATAAAACTTTTTTCTGTGAGAATGTGCTGACCCCCTTTCACCAAATGTCATCTGACATAGAATTTAATTGAGTGAAAGAACAGTTTCAAAGAAAGTTATGGTCATTACGTGAATAAGAAAATATACTAGCCACATTAAGAAACTGTGCACGGAGAAAATATAGATATAAGGGCACACCGTCCATATATGAAATATAGGTTTGAACACAGCAATTATTGGAGACATTCAAACGCTCATGCATGTGCCATGCGATATGACGTCATTGATGGGGGCCTATGGACGTGCAATGTGTTACTGCACGTGCATCCTGTGCAGCTGTACACAGCATGTGCAACTCAAAATTCACTGTCACTTTGGAAAGCATGATATGTGGTCATTCAAAAATTCAAAACTTCTCAGGCGCAGACACAAGCATATCACAAGCAAATCATGCCAAGATTGACAGCTGCACAGCATCATGAAGCCATTGGAATGATCCGAGCGGGAATGAGGCAACAACAGGTGGCAACACATTTCCAATGCCATCATAACACGATATCGGCATTTGTGAGGCGTTATCAGAACACAAATGACGTTGCCGACCTCCCACGTTCAGGATGTCCCCGAGTAACGACGCCAAGACAGGACAGATGGATTCGAGTTACACATCTCTGACACAGGTTCCAAACGGCAGAAACGACGTCCCAGGCAATCCTTAGACTGCGCCGTATCCATCCCAACACTGTCAGGAATCGTTTACGTCAGTACGGGATTCCACCAAGACGCCCTGCCCAACGTCCCATCCTGACACACCATCATCGAGTCAACCGTCTAAGATGGTGTCGAAATCATGTTGGTGGAGAAATGTTGTCTTTACAGATGAATCGAGGTTCAACATTTCCCACAGTGACGGGCGCCAACGTGTCTACCGGCGTTTGGGAGAACGTTATGCATGCAACTGTATTGTGGAGAGGAATCGTTTTGGAGGTGGCTCTGTGATGATTTGGGGTGGGATAACAGCACGCCATCGAACACCTTTGGTGGTTGTTCAGGGCAATCTCACCGGTGTTGGCTACAGAGATCAGATTCTGAGGCCTGTGGTCATTCCTTCTTGCAACGTCATGCCCCGGGATTGACATTTCAACAGGACAACGCTCGTCCTTACACGGCTAGGGTCGCAATGGATTTCCTTCACCATAACAATGTCATGTTAGTGCCATGGCCTGCAGTTTCTCCAGATCTCTCCCCAATAGAGCATGTGTGGGATGAAATGGAGCGCCGTCTGCGTCGTCTTCCACATCCTCCAGATTACGTCCGTGACTTGGCACAGGATTTGAGGAGGATATGGCAGGCCATTCCCCAGGCCTTCCATGCCCATTTGGTGGACTCCATGCGTCGCCGATGCACTGCTGTGATTCACGCACAGGGTGGTCATACCCGTTATTGACTTTGTGACTTTGTCGTATGACCCCCTACTCCATTTTGATCTTCTGACGTCATCGTAACAGATGTTGTTCAGGTCCCGTTGACATTTTCTTATGGTCCGATCATTCAGCTGCTACAGCGTCTGCATCATTTTGTTCTTGCTGTGTTGTATTTCAATCCAGAATATATTTTCTCCGTGCACAGTTTCTTTATGTGGCTAGTATATAAATCTGTATCAAGACAATACTGTCGTTAGGTGAGATCTTCTTGCAAGAATAGGGAATGTCGGGCTGTCTCTATATTTGTAACAATTCTGAAATGTTCACAAGTTAAGGGTTCAAGTAAGTTCACTTGATAATGAAGAAGTTTTATTAAAAAAATCTTAAAATAATAATTGTATGTGATATTCACTGTATATTGTTTCCTGCTCCTATAAGCACACTCAGATCCACTTCTAGTCCAGTCTGTAAGTTTTATGTGCGCTGCCAAATAAGACTGATGCTTTGCATGACAGTCCTGATGTTTTACAGGAACAAGTGCAGAACAGTGCAGAAGGATATCCTTGCCTAGTAACTGTTGTGGTAGAGGTTTTAGTTTCAGCCACGTTTGCACTAAGCTTGTTCACTACAGCTTGATCTCGAAGATTCTTTTGTCAAAAAATGATTGTGGTTTTTTTTATTCCAGGCTGAAGCTGCATACCAGGGTGTGTTTTCATCTTCTCCACAAACCACGGCACAAGAGGCTCATAACACAATGTTCATTGGCCTAAAGAGCTTGCTGCATTCTGCTCAGCACTCGGACCAAAGGGAGACAACTCCGACTGTTTTGACACCACCAATAAGGCCTACAGATTCAAGCTTATCAATATGGACAGGACTCAACAAGCTGTTGCACTCCCCGCCTTCTGTTCAAAGGGAAGCAACTCCAGATATTTAACTGAAGCTTGTTTTAAAAATGATGTTGTTGATAATGGCATCATCTACAGACATGGTGTATAAATTTCTCCCTGCTCAGAAAGATCTCTACATATCAAATGTGTGCAATTTTGGAATGCTCATTTGTGAAATTTATAGTTCTTACGGAACAATAATTTGTTCATTCAAGTTACTGTACATGTAAAAGTTTCAAATTATGAATTTTTTAGCTCATGTGAACCAATGGTTGAAGTAAGCTTATGTCATGGGCACATCTGCCTCTCCATCTAACTTTTACATATATTATATTTCCTCTGAAACCACAATCCTGAAACTTTGCATGGACGATCCCAGTGCAAGTGTTTCTAAATGCTGCTCACAGAATCCTGATCTGGTTTTCAACATGGCAGCCATATTGTCACTTCAGTCCATTACCATGAAAATATGTTGTATGCAGAGTTAGACTTCAACATGTCTAACATTCCTTGCCCTGCTTTGACCTTTGCGTACCCTAGAAGAAGCTGAAAGAAAGAAGAGAATTCCAATCCATTTCAAACATGGTCACCATGGTAACCATAATTACAATAATTTTTCCCTTTATTCAATATGTTTTGCATGTATCATTATGAAATTTGATTTGCAGTAAGTATGTTGTGCAGAATAACATATGATGGATATTTTGATGACCCTGCTGTGGCCTATCATGAGGGAATATGCTTGTTTGCCTGTTATTATGACCTTTTAGCCTAATATATTCCAGAAAAAGTCAGTTGAGAGACAGAGCCTTTTGGTTCTATTTTTCTGGATTTAAGTGACACCTACTCCTCAAATATATGCAAAATATGTTTCAGAAAATATTGCTCTTCTAGTTGCACATCAAGTAATGTGCAACAGTCAGAAGGTGTGTGGTGGGGGTTGTGTGTGTGTGCGGGGGTGGGGGTGGGGAGTGACATTACCAAAGATAAAAATGATAGTTATCTGGATAATCTTGATCTCATGTTTTACTAGTCTTGGCATAGTCTTCTGATACATTGAGGAAAACCAAAAATATTTTTCTTTCTACACATTCCCAAGTAATCTTTTTCAAATGTATTTATTTGAATTATAGCACTCAAAGTTTCACCTAACTGCTCACAGATAACTTTATTTAGTGGTGTGAAATGATACCTAATATGGAACTAAGGCCTAAACGTGCTAACAGAATTATGTGGCTTTGTGGACCCAACAAAAGAGGTACACACTGTTCATGACAAAACAAGGAGACATGAAAGCAAATACCGACTACTGATAACTTCGATCTCATAAAAATCAGATCTTTTGCTCCAATATGATATCTCCAGGTGGACATCTGAGCACGTCTCCATAGAAGGTCGTGTCAGGTTACATTCTTATCAGCGTGAAGACTTCGAAATTTGTTGAATGCGTGACTAAAGAATTCACACAAGCATATTTGATTCCTGTATTGCAAAAACATATATGATCGAGCATATCCAAATGCGAAGAAATACTGACACTCCATAATATTGTTGTGCCTATTTTATATATCCTGGCATCTACACGCAAAAGGGTTACTATGAAGGTGGGTATATTTTGAGTTGGCGGTCAAAGTTCACTGGGGATTCACCTGATCTGACCTTTTGAGACGTCCTCAGATCTTCGCGCAGGCGGGTATCATATCGATGTAAAGATTTGTTTTTAATGAGATTGTGTTATTTCACAGTAGTACTCCAACACAGTTGTAGGATAATTTTTAGACAAACCTCAAACCTACCTATCCTGTTTTGAAATGAAAGGTATTCAGAACCATTTTTATTACACCTAAGATAGAACTGATGCACCAGCATACTCAGGTGAAAGGAATGACATTGTGAAAACATAGCGGTTGAAATCTTATGTTAAAATATCCTAATAAATAGCATAACTCAATGATAAAATCTAGTTATTTGATTGGCTTGTGCTGTCATGTGAACTAAAACATACAAGTATGTTGTCATGTTGTGACTGCTGCCTGCTCAAGCATGATACGTTAAATAGCATTTGCTACATATTTGCATACTTTGGTCCAGACATCTCAACCAGATTATTATGCAAGGTCTACACTGAAGGCTAACAAAATTAATGTTGCCTTTAAACAAAGAATTATCACTGGTCTCTTGAGATTTAATTCTTAAAATAGCATCATTACTTCAATTTTATTTCTTTTACTTTCACAAGACCATATAGGGGTTTATCTAGACCTGTCTGAGGCCAAGAATCGGAACTAAGTCTGCAGCAAATGTCAGTAAAACAATCCAAATGGAAATTAATAATATCCCAATTAGTTTTAACAAATGTTACAGCTTTGAAGACATGGGAGACATAACTTCAAAGCCTAGTTTTATATTATTGCATAGAATTTAATGTTAAAATACCTCTGAAATTTCTTGAACAAGTCCCAATTTTGAACAAAATAAGGATTTTTACCAATTTGCCTGCCAAGGGCACTTAGTTTGCAATCCTAGATAAATCTGTGCCATATTTTTGTGTTTATTGTATTAACAAGATACTGCTGGCACCAAGACCTGGGCCAGACTGATAGGTTGTGTTTACAAACTGTGCCAAACAAAAACACAGTAGTTGTCTTCTGGTAGTGGTGTGTAGACAGTCATTGCATTTATTACTTGTTAGCCTGGTATGCACTTTACTGCAGGTGTGGTCTTGCTTTGGGTCACACTCAGTGTGAATTTACAAAATGGCATTTCATATGTTTATTTGTTACTCAGTGATGTCTGATATTTTATGAACAAATGAATATCATGGATATTTTTCTATGCAGGGTGTTTTTAGTTTATTGGACGGTTGAAAAACTGATTGCGTTCTGTTCATGTATTATTTTGTTGTTTTGAACTTTTGTTACATATTCTAACCTGCGAGAATCACTGCTTGAGTGGGCAACAAGGTTGAGAGTTGTGCTCACCACTTCAATGTTCAAGGGGAGGCAACCCCTGGAGTTTCCTTTATAAATATTACCTTACCAGGAGTATTCCGTCATGATCTTGTGAGCATAAGGATAAGGGTCTTTGAGAAAAAATTTACACAAATATGAACACTCAAGATTAGGCTTGACATCAGTTCACTTTAATAATTCTTGAGGTGGTGTTTCAGCATATGAATTAACAGGTGTGGCAGATACTGAAAATATTGAGACCATACATATATAACTATTATTCACCTAGTCTCAAGCAAGTCTACTCTTCAAAGGGTTATGGGTGATAACCCAGCTATATAAGAGTGAGTGAGTGAGTGAGTGAGTTGGGTTTAACGCCGCTTTTAACAGTATTTCAGTTATGTCACGGCGTGTCAGCTTAATGTGGGAGGAAAGCCCGAAGTGATGCAGGTCTCAGACGTTTACCACTTCAGTGAAACCCATGAGCACGGGCATGGTGCTGACAAACCTAGAAACATAATCGGGGCGAACCGGGATTCGAACCCACAATCATAGGTTTCTGGCATGACCAAGGGACGCAACTCTGCACAGCGAATCGCGGCGCAGTTCAGTATGCACAGTTGCACCCTTTAGGTGTGACACCATCCTATGATCATGGTTTTGAATCCCAAATTCACCTTATGAATGGTATGTAGGCACCATACCTGTATGGTAAAGATCTCAGACCTGCATTACTTTGAATCTTTCTGCCCCATTTCACCTGACACCCTGTGATAACACTGAGATACTGTTCAAATGGCTGAAACAAAACTCACTCTGCTGTTGATAGATACATTAAGCCTAACCTGTTCACTGACAAGCAATACATCAAATACCGTATTCGACCTTTTAAGTGCCCGGGGCGCTCTCAAAATTGGAAATAGTGGGTTCTTATTAGAATATAATTTTGGTGAGAACAAAAACAGAGTTGAAAAATTGTAAATTTCGTACAGTAGATTATGCTGACAGCCTGAAATGATTCAAAAGAAAAGTATGTACGTATCATACACGAGAGATATATTTTCCAGAATTTAATTGCCCACAATTAAGGGTGCATATAACACACGAGTGAGTATTATACACGACTCAATAAGCCTTGTGTACATTGATCAATCGGAAGGGGTGCTAATTGGGATTGTTCACTAGCAAATATATTAGCAAATATCGCCATGGGCGCTTATTAGAGCGGGGCGCTTATTACGTCGAATACGGTAACTGAAGTCAATCCTGCTGTCTCATGTGAAAACCTTGAATGTTGAAGGAACTCTTTGTGTACATTGAACTAGTAGAAAGTAGAAATAGGTCAACATATGCAAAGTCCATGTTTGAAGTGAGCTACAATGTAATGTTAGGACTGCACTGGATGATTAGAGAGAGGCTGGATAGGTTGTGTCAGAGAATATAATTAGCTATGCACTTTTTGTGTTTGTATATACTCAGGTTTACCTTGTACCACAGTGATTGTGAAGTTGTTGAGTTGTGAGTGTCTTTCATATTTGTATATAGACACACAAAGGTGACAGTACATCACATATATACACTTGCTTGTGCATAATCTTATGTGTTCAGACTACATTAAGATTTGCTCAAGAGGGCCTAAGCTTTCCCTTTCTTTTATGTAAAGAATGTATGTGCCATCTTTCGTGTTTATTTGAAAGCATGGACTGGTCTGTTTTCCAAGAGTGTCATTTCACATGTGATTTGTTGTTAATAATATTGTAAATAAATTAATATGTACATATTGTTACTGATAAATTAATAAAATAGTAAATAATATCCTATTCATCTGTTGTTTTTCTCACACAACACTGTAGGGAGTCGAGAGAAGCAATGCATGCCTTAGGGTTGCCAGCATGTGAGGAGACACTGTTGGCCCAGTCATCCCCGGTGCTGCAATTTCCTGTGCTGAATTGCGTCCTTTAGGCATGCCAGAAACCTATGATGGGGGGGCACGGGTGGCCCAGTCGTCTAAGGCACCGCGATTCACTGTGCAGAGTTGCGTCCCTTGGGCACGGCAGAAACCTATGATTGTGGGTTCAAATCCCGGTTCACCCCGATTATGTTTCTAGGTTTGTCAGCACCATACCTGTGCTCGTGGGTTTCACCGAAGTGGTAAACGTCTGAGACCTGCATCACTTCGGGCTTTCCTCCCACATTAAGCTGACACACTGTGATATAACTGTAATACTGTTAAAAGCGGCGTTAAACCCAACTCACTCACTCACCTATGATGGTGGGTCAATCCTGGTTCGCCCTTGAATGTTTGTAGGTGTGTCATCACCATACGGTGGAGTAACCAGGAAAGTGGTGAAGGTGGCATTCTTCTCACATTAAGCTGTAACTGCAGAGGGGCGGTCGGGTAGCCTAGTGGTTGAAGCGTTTGCTCGTCACAGTCACACCGAAGACCCGGATTTGATTCCCGACATGGGTACAATGTGTAAAGCCCATTTCTGGTGTCCCCCGCTGTGATATTGCTGGAATATTGTTTAAAGCAGCGTAAAATCACACTCACTCTCACTCACTGTAACTGCAGAAGTGTTAGAAGTGTTAGGCGCCTTAAGACTCACTCTCACCATACTCAGGTGACCAGCTTAGCCTAACTGGAGAAAAATGTGGTGTTTCCCAGTGAGAAGATGTCCCCATTTCTTCATGCAAGCGTGTGACAAGGGACAGCTTCAATGGGGATTGGCTGGTCTGCCATTGGTCACCTGATTGTGTCATTGTATCAAGACGGGGTGAGTGAGTGAGTATTGTTTTACCCACTTTTAGCAATATTCCATCAATATCAGGGTGGGAAATACGGTGGGCTTCACACATTGTACTCAATTGGGGAATCGAACCCTGGTCTTCGGCTGACAAGCCAACACTTTAATCACTAGGCTACCCCTGCATTGATGTACAGCATACCACTGCTTTCATTCTATTTCGGAATAGGTAGATCAAAACAAGGAATTGACTAGGGTTGTGACAGGTAACTGGGGTCGGGTGGGTACTGAAAAGGACCTGGGTACCCACAGGACTACCCGCCTGTGGTTAGTCAAGTGATATATTGATTAATAACAAAATTATCTTGAATTCTATGGTTACACTGCAAGTCACTAATATTCCCATTACTTTCTGACTTTGCACCCATTCCTTCTGACCGTTTTATGTTTGAACAAAAATAAAACTCCATTCAACTTCAGCGTATGCATGACCAGATCGTTTTATTGACCCATGTATCCTACTAGGGCGGATGCGTAAATAAAACACGTGGCTGTAATATAGCTAAAATAGTGTGGACGTTCGAGCAAATGGAACTACGTCATGAGTCATGACATGTCATGTTCTTGGGTACCTTTCGTACCGGAAAGCAAATATGCGCAAGACATTATTAATTCCACAAACCTCAAGATGCCCACGATAGTTTGATACAAGCGCAGACAGACATGGTTTGGAACGTCCAATGCTCAGCGAGGTGCTTTCACAAGAAACGATTGGTAACAATATTCAGGGCTGGAGTAGATTGGTTTCCCCAAATCGATACTTTGTGTGAAGCAATCGGGTGGTGCCCTCCATCTTACAGAGGCAAGAGTGTCAAGCCTAATTCAAGTACTCGTGACATCAAAGGCTAGTTTTCACCAGACATTCTTACCTCGGGGGGAAAACGGGTGCCCCTTGTCGTGATGAGGCCCCAATAACCAGTCCCGGGGAATTGCTTTAGATCAGAGCCCCTTTAAGCGGTGTAAAATCATAGTGCGAGTATCATAGCTTGCAGTGCTCTGTCGACTGTTTTCAGCCTAGTAACATTTATCATTTGTAATTTTTGGTCAAATACAATTTTCAAGGGTATTCTTTCGTTTGCTTTTCAACAAAACGATTGCGGAATCCGAGAACAGAATGTTATTGGTCACAAAGGAAGGGATATACCCGACTCGCCTAAAAACATTTAGAGCGAACTACGGTCGGTTTTTGTATTTTAGAATAAGTATGTAGCTATCAGAAATACATAGTAATGCATTGTATACACATAATGCACCTAAATGTCAAATATATTTTTTAGGCGAGTCGGGTCATTTTTTTTTAGGCGAGTCGGGTGCAACTCCAAAGGAAACTCGTTATCTGTTCGTCTGCATAATGTGTGCGTGCGCGCGTGTGTCCTTATATTATCCTTAAACACACCTCATTTATGCCGTTCACGGATATTAAACGATTAGTTTAAATTAATCACAAGCTAGAGCCAGTATATATGTAATAGTGCGCAAAACAACATTCACTCTCACGCCACACCCTTGTACTATGATGGATGATGACAGGTAATGATGATTTAAGGCGGAGTTGAGTTGCTCGTTTGGGAATCCGATTTTGACACCATCTCACATGAGAGTCCCTGGGAGTCGCGAGAAGTGGTTCACTTTGGGTATTGCTTGTATTTGTAATCGCGTAATGAGGGGGGGGGGGGGGGGGGGGGGGGGGGGGGATACGAAATAGGGTTAACGTCGTGTTCAAGTTTATTGCACTGATATACACATGTGTGTGTGTCTGACTGCCCGGACTAATGCCGATCTTATAGCACTAGCCCACTGAGATACCATGCCGCAGTTTAACATGATTAATCCACTCAGATACAGTATACTGACTCCGAGCCGACCAGTCCATTTTTATCCCGAGCGCCAGGAAGAGTAACAAAAAGTACCATCTTTTAACGTCATTTGGTATGACGCGGCCAGTTGATCGAACCTTCCGCTCTCAAGGTAGACGCTCTATTACTCTCGTGGTATTTCGTCCGTCACTTCGTCTGTTTTTAATAATTAATATTGTGATTCGATACCTCTGATTGACCAATCAGAATCGAGTAATTTCCAAATTCATTAGAAAATCCGGGTATAGAATAGGTCCCCACAACCCATGCTTGCCGTAAAAGGCGACTATGTTTAAAAAGATATGCATATTATATCATGAGTGGTCCTATATAGGACCCTAGTATATTAAACCTTATGCACTCTATTAATTCAGAAATTGGCTTCAGAAAACATCCAGCTGTATTCCCAGTCGCAACTCAACCCGGAGAAAGACTGATTCTTAACATTTGTGGAGAGAACTTTTTTTTTTTATAGCAGTTGAGTGGGTCATATATAATATAACTATAACAACCCGGGTTAGAATACCCATGCTTGTCGTAAAAGGCGACCATGCTTGTGTTCAGAATAACGGGATCGGGTGGTCAGGCTCGCATGTTTTCGTATCCCAATTGCGCGGATCGATGCTTATGATGTCAATCACTGGTTTGTCTGGTCCAAACTCAATTATTTACAGACCTCCGTCATATAGCTGGAATATTGCTGAGTGCGACGTTAAACAACAAACAAACATTAGGATCGTTTTTTGCTCGTAATCCCCACGGCTTTTTCAACACTGAAAACACTATATTTCTTCAATGCAGCTTTACTAATAAGTATGAATAATAAAGAGATTAGTACATCCATGTGGGTATCCCACTGCTTCTGGAAAACTCGCTCAGGAAATATTTGAACGTTATATACACTTGGACTCGTCCCACCAATGAGGATAGTGCAGTCTTCCAAAAATCGATTAATGCAATATATGATAAATGAAGTCTTATGAACTCATTCAAACAACAGACACCCTCCGCTGCCATGCAGGTGAGACAGTAAGAGTCTTGAACACATGCCGTCATATAGCTGGAATATTACGGAGTGCGGCGTTGAACAACAAACCAACTTGAACACATAAGTTGCATACCTGTCCCGTACAACCTATATTCCCTCAAGGTGACATTAAATAGACTCGCCCACTCCCTCGTAAAAGGTGAGATGACCTAATTCGAAAGGCTTGCGACAGGTAAATCAACAGAAAAATGGGGAAAGAGGCCATTCTTGGCTTTATTTTTGCCGCCGTTGCTGTCGGATGCATGGTTCTAGCTTTCGCCAGTCCATACTGGGTGGAATCATTCGATAAATTCCAAGGAAGATTCACAAAAATCGGTTTGTGGGAAGTCTGTTTCAACGATTACACATTCTACAAGGACTACAAAGGCAAGCGTTATCTGGGGTGTTGGTACATCTTTTCACAAGAGGTTCGTCCGATTTGGGAGTGGCTGTCACCACGTAAGTGTTTAAATGTATATGAAAATATTTTCAGTTGCTAGAATTTGAAATGTTCGTGATTTTATGTACCTGTTCAGGTAGTAAACAATTGAAGGAATTTCAAAATGGCGGACGGAAGTAGACTGAGTGACTAATCCACTAACTTACAGGAACCCCACAGTCCCCCTGATGTTAGGCTCGCTGGGGAGGTTTACAGTGCTTTACGACTTTATCGCCCCTATCAACATGACATTTAATGATTATAACGTCAACTGCAGATCTACGAATATTGTCCTTCAAGTTCAACAAACAGACGAATCCACTTCCTACATCTAAATTTTAATGACTTGGAAACACCCGAGGTGAACTTCTCTCAGCGTCCTAAAAACAAGATATTTATCGTTTATGAAGAGATTCCCCGTGTTAGTTGGGTGAAGCATGCGTGTTTAAATAAGGCAACCTAATTAACCATGTTAACTGTCCAGAGTTGTCCTGTCCAGTACCAGGATCCTCTTGTCATGGGTTCAAATTATGATCATTAGTTTGTCTGCATCACTTTTGCCTCGGGACTTCCACCACATAATTCTGGCCCTGGGAATAGTCCAGATAGTGCAGATTCCTTTGGTCAACACATTCATATGTGCATGAGGTATTATTCCCCAGTGAGGAGAAAATGACTGTTACATGTTGAATGAAGCTTTTCTCTTCAAATTTGGAAACAGGTATTTATATATGAAACTACTTTAGCTGCTGGTACTTACTATACCATGGGCCAACGGTGGTGAATGAGCCCCCAAATAAATCCTGTGATTCCCCAAATACCGACATACCCCAGTGAAACCTGAATGGTCCCCCGAGTGACCCCCCCCCCCCCCCCCCCCCCCCCCCCGTTTGACCCCCTGGCCCTTGAATGACCCCCTGTTTCCCGTGGTGGCACCTGAATGGTCCCCTGCATCACACACACGAACACACAGAGAACACATTTCCCTGAGTGACTCCCCGGTTTTCCCCAGTGGCACCTGAATGGTTTCCCCAGTCACCACCCATTTCCCCCCTAGTGACCCCGTTTCCCCCAGTGACCTCCCCTGTTTCCCCCTGTGACCCCCAGTCACCATCCGTTTCCCCCAGTGACTCTTTGCCTTGTGTTTCAGCATGGTTCATCTCGGTGCAGGTGATGGTCAGCTTCACCCTGCTGATCCAAGGCCTCAACGCTATCGCACTCGTCCTGTTTCTATTCAAGTTCTTCCCCAAAACACTTGACTATTTGATTCTGATGTCCACGGCTGCTATCAATCTGTTTGCCTGTAAGTACCTAGGTATACATAAGGAGGCATCCCATGAAAATCTTGGTTAGAATTGGTCCTCAGCAAACCCATGCTTGTTGAAAGAGGCGACTAACGAAAAGAGTGGTCAGGCTCACTTACTTGGTTGATACATGTCACTGTATCCCAATTGCGTAGATCTGGTCCAGACTTGATTATTGACAGACTGCCATCATATAAACATGAGCAGGCAGTGATGTTATAGGCGCTATAAGAGCAATGGCTGTGTCTGAGATAGATGATGTACATTCGCATGAACAATTCTTCATAAATGAGTATTATGTCTCTAACCATATTTGAAAGACACTGATAAGAATAGCTATCCTATTGGATTACACTCATGGATGAGAGAAATCCTGTGCTAAGTTAGTGATAAGAGACGGTGACATCAGAAATGAAGCTTTGTGGTACATGGATTAGGGCTGCAACGAATACACTGTGGGGCGAATATGATTCATATCACAAATATAGGGTAACGAATACAAATATTAATTCACAAATACAATAACAAGTCACTGAGTCAGCAGTTGATGTATTATTTATTATATTCAGTGAAACAATAAAAAAAATGAATTATTTGACATGGTTTGTTAATTATTAATATACATGTATTATACATTTATATACTGCACTTACCCAGGTACTAGTATCTGCTCAAAAGCGACAATGACCAGTGACCACATTACTGTCAAATTATATTTTGTAAGAGTGTTGACATTGAAAGATGTCATCTATGCATGTTCTTATGGATATTTTTAGGTACAGGGTATGTAAATACACATGATTGCATATTTAATAAATATATTAGATTCTTGTGGCCACGAATAACGAATTCAATTCATGAATGGTTATGGTGCGATTCACAGAATACGCGAGTGAATCGTAACAGCCCTAACATGGATCCACTGTATTGATCATAATAAAATGAAGATATACAGCAGTACAAATACATTTGTCTCCATGTTTTACTTTAATGTGCTTTCATTGTGTTTCAGTTGGACTGATTTTAATTGCTCTCATAGTGTTTGGGGTGAAGAAAGAAGACCGCTCGTGGGTGCCACGCCCAGATATGAATTTCCTGTCTTGGTCTTATGGACTGTGCTGCATTTCAGGACTGGCATGCGTGGTTTCGGCCTACCTGCTCCATAAGGCATCTAAGAAGCTGGATAAGGAGTTAGGCTATTAGTTAATGGCCATTTTCCTTTTTACTGACAACTATTTTTGTATTATTACTGTACAGTACAAAGTTCAATGGTAGTATCTGCAGCGCATAACCTTGACAGTAATTCAGTATGATTCATATAGTCATGACTTTTTTCGTGAAATCATAGGATTAAAGTTATTTGCACACCTGGACATTAACAACAGTTATTCATTAGGTGTTTGAGCATTTCGATATTTGTGACAGTAACTGCAAAGAAAGCATGTAATTGCTGTTTACATAGTTTCACATCATGGTCAAATTACAATGCAAAAACAAAAGGACTCAAACAAAATCAAATTCAACAAGAATTCCAAACTTGCCTTGGTGTATTGTTGTGAAATTTCAGAACACATTACTCATTTATATTAATGTAAATATGATGTTGATTAACCAAAACACTGTCACATATCATTGTACATAATCATTGATTGGAATGTAAATAATTCTTTAGACTATATTTTTATTGAGATAGGTCCATTTTTTTGTGATGGAAACAGATTTCACCAACATTCCGTCTGTATATAATGATTTTATACATTCATATAACTATCTGGAGTACTTTCAGCTGTTTCAAAAGTGCAAGGCGACCCAAACTGGTCTTGTTAATCGTTGTAGCTGCAATTTTATGAATATCTTCCTCGGCAGGTTTCAATTGTTTTATGAAGTTATATTTAATCATATTTCTATTTTGATAACAGCATAAGGATCTACATGGAAGTGTCACTATTTCAGTAACATAAAGAAAGTGTTATCCATAACTTATCAACTTTAACATAAATGATAATCAGATTATTTGCTCTAGAAAATAGCTATTTTAAAGAGATACATAGACTTATATGAATGAAGAACAAGGAATATAAGTAGGTCTGATGTATTTTTTTATAATGAGCGAATATTAGACAGTACAAATATATGTATAAATATTTGATCTTTTAACTGATTTTGTTACAGAGTGAAATTTTCAGAAATTGATAGTTGAAATCATTTAATCAATGCTTGTTTCCATATGCATTTTGTATAATGAAGCTTTGCGAAAATTCTTCTAAACTAAATAGACTTAGGACAGTATTAATATTCTTTATTCTCGATTGTATTTTATGAAAATATAATAATAGAAACATTGTAATCCTAGACCATTTGTCATGATTTTTATGTACATTACATATTTTGTATTAAACTAATCACAGAAAATACTATTTTCATTGTATTTTGTTCATCATCACCATCAGCTGTTGCCTGTTAGACGCCTAAATGCGATAAGTCTTCAATAGTATGGTGTTATCCATCTACAATCAGGAAATGACCTTCAAAAACATGCCTTGATGTGTGGGTAGCCCGTTTAATCCTGCTTGAGGACAGTGTAGAGTTGTCTCCCTTAGCTATGGCAGGGTGTGCTTGGGTTCTGGTCTCAGATTATCTCTGATTGTGAGTTTATGCTCATTGGTTACACCAAGTGTAAACAGTTAGGACTTGGCAAGAATTCAACACATTAAGCTCACAAGCGTTAACAGAAACAGAAATACTGTGCAAAACCTACTTGTATCCTAACTTTATCACGCATAGACTTGTGTCTCCATGAAGAGAGTTGGTCATGGGTAGCCCATTCTAAAGCTCCACATTTTGCTGTGCAGAGTTGTGTCCCTTTGGCATGCCAGGAACCTACCCTTGTGGGTTAGAACCCCAGATTTTCCCTGATTATGTTTCTAGATTTGTCAGCACAATGCCAGTACTCCTGAGTTTCTCCAAAGTGATAATGTCTAAGACATGTGTCACTTGGTCCTTTCCTCCTGCATTAATCTTATACACAGTGCCATATTGTTTGCTTGTTTATTGTTTAATGCTGCACTCAACACTATTCTGGACCAGACAATCCAGTGATTTACATTATGGGGACTCATCTACGCAATTGGGATACAATGACATGCATCAACCAAGTCAGCTGGACTGGACAGCCCGATCCCTTAGTCCTCTCTTATGGCAAGCATGGTTTGCTGGAGTCAGATTCTAACCCCGATCTTCACAGGGTTCACAGTGATATAACAGAAATATTGTTGTTGAACCGAATTTACTTTCTCACTCTCTTTTGAGGAAAGTGGTGTCTTCCACACCATTTATGGTCAATATTATTTTGAAAGAAAGTGCTTACAATTATGAGTAAAGATTGTCTTTACCCTGTTCCAACATCTTGGCACAGGATGCACGGGTAGCGTCAATATTCCGCTGTTTCTACATTCCTTTAAACACCTTTTGATATATACTTTATCGACAATAAACGCCATGAACAAATGTTTATGCAACTTGACACAACATTCACTTGGTGATTATCGAGCATCATTACTGAAAGTACAATTACTGAGTCGTGTTTATGAACATGAAGTTTGCCAAGAGCTAGGTAATATAATACAGGTGATTTATCATATAGAATATACACGTAATATACACTTTTCAATAGCAGTCAACCTGAATACATACTTTTACAGAATGAATGCTATAATAAGCATGTTACCAAACTTGTTGATGAAAAAGGTGACAAAAAGTGGGAAATATCATGTCATAATTTTGGCAGTTGCGTACATTAATTGATTTAGGCTGAAAAAACACGTAGTGCGTGCGTGCGTGCGTGCGTGCGTGTGGTGTGTGTGTGTGTGTGTGTGTGTGTGTGTGTGTGTGCGCCTATACAGCTATTTGAGAAAAGGGTAAGGACAGTTGGGTACATATGGTGATTTGCCAATTCTTGTGTGCCAATGTAATTGGGTTAAAGATATATCACCGAATAACCCACGAGCTACGAGGAACAGACACAATTCATTGTCAAGGTGACAGATACCCCGTAACTGTGAGATGCCAGTAGGTTATTCTACATATAACCCAGTCTATTATATCCTATTTTTCTTTCTTAGAACATGTAAAAGTCCAGACCTGTTGTCAAAAGACCTTATATTACATCGTTTGTGACGTCATGAACAATCGATACATTCATCTTCAAATATTTCCAACAATGAGTCCATATGACGTCACCTTGCTGTGGGACTAAAAAACCCGCAAAAAAATGACATTAATACAAATGGAATAAACTAGCCAATCAGCCTGAAGAAAAAGTAATAATGCTCAGTGGGAATTACTGAAAGTAACTTCACCTATATATCCGTTCCCCAACTATACAGTACTGGTACCTATCTGTTGTTTAACGCCGCACTAACCAATATTCTAGCATTATGATGGCGGTCTGTAAATAATCGAATCTGGACCTGACCATCCGGTCATTGACATCATGAGCATCGATCAAAGGAATTGGGATACGATAACAACCAATCATCCTAGTCACCGAGCCTGATCACCTGATCAATTAGCCTCTTCAACAAGCATAGATTTCTGGGTATCAATAGTCTCACCTGTAATGGCCAGGGGTCAAAGTGATAAAACAAATAACTGACGTCGTGAGCGCCATTATGCAACTATGATTTGTATCTCCTCTTTCTGTCGTAGTTATTTGATTCTACACTGTTTGTCTAAGTGATGCGGCAGAAAGTTTATAATGAAATGATAGTTGCATATTGGTTTCCCACGATTTCAGCTACACATTTGTCTTTCCGTGTGTGTTTTTTCTGGCCACAAATATATAAATATTATTATTTTGTACATCATGAGTTTTTTGTGTGTGACCATTTACATGTTTTGATTCATAGATATTAATCATCAATATATCAGCAAAATGAAAATAATTAATTGCGATAGTGTTGATTTAAAAAAAGACACCTCATTAGATGTGGGAAACACGTGTACAAAAAGACAAACTTTGATTTTGTGTGTTCAAATTCATTGGAGAAGAATATAAAGAGCTGTCACCGGATGTTGGATGTGCATCTTCTGTTTGTAAATAAAGCACACACAAAAAGTTATTTGTGGTATTTCAATGGAATCTTTGTGATGAGTTACTCCCCTTGGTCTGCACACACGCGTCGCGAGCGCATCATTGTTGTCTGAGACAGTTTTACGTGTATTCTGTAAGGTCCATCAGGACGCACAGTACTTACACACCATCTTCCTTCATTTCCGTCATGATATTCAGAAATACGGATTGTTGTCAGTTCACCTCAAAACGCAGTCAAATGCTAAACAAGAAGCTCACACATTGACAGTACAGCCTACGCCTAAGCATCTACATCGTGGGTTTGTCAGTTCACGACATATAATACCTTTCTGGGATAAATAGTTCTTGCTCTGCAAAGGATTTCTTACACTTTAATACTTTCTCAGCTAGAAAAGAAGCCAGAATGGCAGCGAACAGTCTAACCCCTGATACCCGAGTAGGGTTTTTAGGGGCAGGAAAGATGGCTCAAGCACTCGCGAGCGGCTTCGTTAAAACAGGTGAGTTGCATGTAGCCATGCATCTTAATGGACCGTATCAAAGGTTCTTCGTTTGTATATTCATGGATATAGTTTTGTATGCAACAATAGTTAACTTGAAGTAGGGTAGCATTCAATCTCAGATTGGGTAGCATTTGTTTAAATGGCAAAGAAAACTACAAGAACATATATATATATATATATATATATATATATATATATATATATATATATATATACAGTATAATAATTAATTAAGATGTTCATTTACACGTACGCTAACTCTCCTCGTTAAAAATAATTTTCAACAGTGGACACGCCACGTAGAGATTCCGTGTACAGATTCCTAGTAATTAACCAATGCTTGACGTACGAGTCGTCTATATGGAGTTCAGACTGAAAACTCTACTACGTTGTACGTTGCTCATAATATCAATCCCTTGGTTACAGACTCGATTATTTACAAGTCGCCGCAGGCGACTATGCTTGTCGTAAAAGGCGACTAACGGGATCGGGTGGTCAGACTCGCTGACTTGGTTGATGCATGTCATCGATCCCAATTGCGTGGATCGATGCTCATGTTATCAATCACTGGATTGTCTGGTCCAGACTCGATTATTTATACAGACCGCCGTCATATAGCTGGAATATTGCTGAGTGCGGCGTTAAACAACAAACCAACCAACCAACCAACAAGTCGCCGCCATCTAGCTGGGATATAGCTGAGGGCGGTCTAACACAACAGACAGTCGTGTATATAACGATGACATCTAAGAAACACCACTGAAATTTTCTTACACTGGGCTACCAATGAATAGTGATTGGTATTTTCGAAATGACATGCGACTCGTAGAATAGAACATATTCAATCTCTTCACGTGTAAAGTGGTAGATATTCAGATGAAAGATGTCATAGAATTGAATAGTTGTGATTAGAATTCCCCTTCGTGGCTGTGTTAACTTCCAGGGCTCGTACAAGCGGGCAACATTACAGCCAGCCGACGACACCCCGAGGCTCCGAACATTCTCAAGGTTTGGTATGACTGATGTTGTTTTCTGATACAGCGAATCTTCTGTTTCCAAAATGGAAAAAAATTGGAAAAACCCGGGTTTGAGTTGGTCCCTAGCAACCCATGCTTGCCGTAAGAGGCAACTTAATGGAACATAAACCAATGTTAATGTATGGGAGTTACGATCATCTTAGCTTCGCCCTGACAAAGCTTTGTGGAACGAGTCCCATTTGGTATGTTGATTGGGTGTCATCGTACCCTTACGGCGTGTATGGTTGCTCATAATATCAATAGCCGCATGGTTTGTCTAGTCTATTGTTTACAGTCAGCTGTCCTATACGTAGCTGGAACATTGCTGAGTGCAGTGTAAATCACTAATATGACCTCCCCATTTCGGTACCGCCACTTTGCCTCTGTTCTATACATACATGTATATGTTATTAAACATTTGCAATTGATATCTCTTGCAGGACATGGGTGTCATGGTAACCGGGGACAACAAGGAGGTCGTCAGACGCAGCAACTTGGTCTTCATTGCCGTCAAGCCAAACATGGTGGAGGCTGTGTTAAAAGACATAGCAGAAACAGTCACAGTTGATAACTTGATAATTTCCATAGCTGCTGGGATCACAATAGCTACCTTACAGAAGGTATAACATTAGACACTATTTGTTTTCCTTCATTATACTTAAGATATTTCCATCATTTATTCTATGCCTCCATGGGGCGGTCGGGTAGCCCAGTGATTAAAGCGTTACACCGAAGACCCGGTTCGATTCCGACATGGGTACAATGTGTCAAGCCCATTTCTGGTGTTCCCCCGCCGTGATATTGCTGGAATATTGTTAAAAGCCGCGTAAAATCTTACTCACTCAATATGCTTCCATTGTGTTTTGCTGCCGGTGCTTTAACTGCCCTTATATGCTTAAAATTGTTTGTTTGTTGTTTGTTAACGCCGAACAAACAACAAACATACGTAAAAGGGCAGTTAGAGAACCGGCTGTAAAATATACTATATATACGTGGATGATAGCTGTTACTTTAGATGTGAAATGCTGACATGTTTAAAGACTAATGAAAGAGACATCTTTTTCCAACCAGGAGCTACCCCCCGGGACACGTCTCATACGGGTTGTTCCAAATCTGCCCGCCCTGGTAGGCCAGGGGGCGGCGGTGTTGTCGCGGGGAATAACAGCAAGGGAGGAGGATGTGTCACTGGTGATGACGTTGGTGCGGAGCGTTGGTCAGTGCGACGAAGTACCAGAAAGTCTACAAGATTCGGCAACCGGAGTCAGCGGCAGCGGCCCAGCATACGTACGCACCGTAACTTGTCCGGAGTATAATTAAGTGACTAGTATACGGGCCCACGACTGCATGAATGGTCATCGAAGGGATGGGATTAGTGACCATTGAAAATTGTCTTGAAACGGTGACCGACCGACTGACCGACCGACCGACCGACCGACCGACCAACCCACCCAACCATATTGACTGCCCCTGCAGTACAAAATCTTTCAACACGCCCCCCTTTAAATTCCAACGATTTGTTTATTGTTGTTTAACGCTACATTCAGGCAATAGTCCAGCTGTATGATGGCGTCCTGTAAGTAATGGGGTGTGGACCAGACAATCAAAATCTTAACGACAGTTAATAAATATACGCAAGTACCATTTTTTTTAACAACCCAGTCACTCGTATGTCAACGCATAAAGAAAGATACGTAAGTGCACCTCTGCATTGTACCCCTTGTCTTAACAGAATCAGGGAGATCTGGGGTAGAATCGATCTTAAGCAATCCATAAAAGGTGAATATGCTTGTCGTTAGAGGCGACTAACAGGATCTGGTAGTCAGTCTCGCTTACTTGGTTGATTCGTGTCATCGTATTCCAATTGCGTGGATCGATGCTCATGATGTCAATCACTAGATTGTCTGGTTCAGACTCGATTATTTACAGACCACCGCCATATGGCTGGAATATTGCTGAATTGCTAAGTGCTGCGACAACAAACATACAAAAAACATTTCTTAACAGAATACATAGTTTAATATACTACATACCATCATGCAAACTCATGACACAGTCCGGAATTGTTTCTGTTATTATTTGAACATTGGAATCTTCTATCTTGAAGTGTTTACACGCCCTACTCATGTCACGAAAGAAAACAAGTATTTTTAATGACTAGAACTGATTTGAAATCGTATTCACAGGCATTTGCAGCAATAGAGGCTCTGTCAGACGGAGGGGTGAAGATGGGGCTCCCCAGAGACCTGGCCATGAAACTCGCAGCACAGACCATGTTGGTGAGAGCCTATGCAGTGTATCAAACAATTTTATTATTCCATGAAATTAATTAGCACATTATGGGTACAATGTGTGAAGCCAATTTCTGGTGTCCCCCGCCGTGATATTGCTGGAATATTGCTAAAAGCGGCGTAAAACCATACTCACTCACCCACTCACTCATTAATTGGCACATTAATGATGGACGCGAGTTCTATTCAAGGGAGATAACTCTTTGCTTCTTCTTGCATACCCATGTGGCGTTCTTTTGAAACGAGCAAAGTAAAATTGCCCAAGTTCTCTTGCACCAGATTTGTGTATTTTCAGGGAGCAGCCAAGATGGTTCTCGAGTCTGGAAAACATCCAGGTCAACTGAAAGATGAAGTTTGCTCCCCAGGGGGCACCACCATTGCTGCCATGCATAAACTAGAGAAAGCAGGGTTCAGGGGGGCCTTGATTGATGCGGTGGAAGCCGCGACACTACGAGCAAGGGAGCTAGGACAGAAGAAGTGAAAAGTGTTATATTTGTTTTTGTTTTGTTGTTGTTTAACACCGCACTCAGCAATATTCTAGCTATGTGACGGTGGGTGTATATAATGAAGTCTCGACCAGACATAAGATGACATGCATCAACCAAGTCAGCGAGCCTGACCACCCGATCCCGTTTGTCGCCTCTTACCACAAGCATGATCGCCTTTTACGGCAAGCATGTGAATTCTAACCAGGCTCTTCACTGTTATATTTATATTATATATGAGCCACTCAACTGCTATGATACAAAAAACACCAATGTTAAGAATGAGTCTTTCTCCGGGTTGATTTGCGACTGGGAATACAGCTGGATGTTTTCTGAAGCCAATTTCTCAATTAATAAAGTGCATAAGGTTTAATATACTGAGGTCCTATATGGGACCACTCATGATATAATATGTATGTCCATTTGAACAACAGCCTGGAGAAAGAAATGCTTAATGATTTGAAATTCTATAAATTTAGATGCATCGGGATATTACAAGGTTGATAGTTCTCATTTTAATTTGATATTCAATTGTTTATGATACAAAAATGCCTTTTTCCATGAACTATATATTTATTGTTCATGTATATATGTTAAGAGCTCTGTGAAGAAGTGTCCGTTGAATGGATGTCAGTATTCACTACTCATTGTGCTACAGAAATGACAGCCCGACCGGATAGAATGGAGCCACGCTGAACGATCTATTATCGCTGCACACAATAAGACTGCAGAAACGCTACATTAGGGGAAAGCTGAAGAGGTGATGTGCACAATTATGTGTGCTACTCGCAGCTGTTTGAGTTGACGGGTGTGTAAACGAATCTCCTACATATACAACTGAATTATACCTATAAATCATTTTTGTGTTCCGTTTCTGTTTAGCCAAATGAGATTTATTTTAACTGTCTTTATCACAATAAATATTTTATAAACGATTTTTGGTATCCTTTCTGCATTGGTATACTGATACATTCGCATTCGCATAACCCTCGGCAGTATTCCAGAAAAATGACGGCGGTACTGAAATATCAAGTCTATACCGATCCCGTTAGTCGCCTCGTACCACAAGCATGGTTGCTGCTGAAGATCAATTCTAACCCAGATCTTCAAGGGTACATATTGTTTAAGCTGGATTCACGCTACGACCGTAGTTTCACGATTCAATTCATGCCTTGCGTTAAAAAACGCGTGTAATGTTTTCTCATGCAGCGTAACCAAACACACTGAAACCGAATTTTGAATGCGATGCGTTCCCATGCGTTGAAAATGGGTTATAGTACAATCGCATATAGGGACTTCCATTCATGTCATATTTTGCACGCACGCACGCACGGTACGGTTTGTTTGTTTGTTTGTTTGTTTGTTGTTTAACGCAGCACTCAGCAATATTAGAGCTATATGACAGCGGTCTGTAAGTTATCGAGTCTGGACCAGACAATCCAGCGATTGACAACATGAGCATCGATCCATGCAATTGGGATCGATGACATGCATCAACCAAGTCAGCGAGCCAGACCGACCGATCCCGTTAGTCGTCTCTTACGACAAGCATAGTCGCCTGTTACGGCAAGCATGCATTGGTTGCTGAAGACCTATCTTCACGGGTCCCACGGTAAGGTCTTCTGCAAGTCTCTCATAAATGTAGTCATGAACATGCTCTCTGGTTGCGTGTGTATGTATGTGATTCTTTGGGTTTCAGAATGATATTGATAGCTATAAATTGTCATTGAATTCAAGGATGTGCTTTTATCAACAGAGGTTGATGAGGGCTCTGTCAGGGAGGTTGAAGTACCGTAACATGATTGCCCCCTGTGTGTAACTATCATCACCCACATTTTTAATAGTAGCTAATGTAATGACGTACATCCTGCTGGGGTATCGTGCAGGATGCTGAGGCGCCGTAAGTCACCATCATCCCCATCGTGGTGGCCTAGCTTTGGTTGCTGATGGCTTATGTCCTCTGTTTTAAGCAGTTGTAAATAATATTGTTATGTTAAAATATGATTGACAAATTTGCTTTTAAATATAACTTGGTATTCATGACATGCTTGTTTACATAAAAATCTTGTTCTCGTCGCTATATGGCTGAAATAATGCCGATGCGAGTTAAATCTTAACTCATTCATTGATTCAAGAAATAATCATGTTTATGTTTTTTTCTTAGTGCGTCCATTCTTTTATGTCGCATTCACTGTAAATGTATGCGACTGCGTGCTCTAAAATAACAGTTCATTACGCATGGCACTAAGTGAACGATCGTAGCGTGACTCAAGGCTCAGCAGGTGCGACTGTATGTTGGCATTTTGCTCATGTATTTCCCAAACCCTTTATTATACATTCCATTCCATTATGATAAAATTGATTTTGATAATATGATATTCATCGAGGATGCTATATTGGGTTTCTCTTGAATACGCTGTTAGACCGGGATGTACCGCCAGCTCTGAATGGACCCTGTGTGCATGTGACTCCGGAACAGAATGAAGGGGACTACCCATACCCTGTCGTTAGAGTCGGGGCGGTCGGGGAGCCTAGTGGTTAAAGCGTTCGCTCGTCTCGCCGAAGACCCGAGTTGAATTCCCGACAGGGGCACACTGTGCGAAGCCCATTTCTTGTGTCTCCCGCCGTGATATTGCAGGTATATTGTTAAAAGCGGCGTAAAACCATACTCACTCAAACACTGCCAAATTCTCACATTGAGGGAATGTATTAAAAACGACCTTTTTCAAAATTTGAGTCATAAGTGACGTGGAGTAACTTCAGAGACCTAAAATGGGAGGAAACAATTCCCAAACCTCCTTCTTTTACTGGTTCACATGTGGTACTTTACACATTATATCGCTCTTTGTCGTCTCTGGCTTTCCACCCCATAACAACTTGAAACGAAATTTGGTCATTTCTTTCAGAGCATTCCCCGGAGAGTCGATGAGAGTAAGGAAAATGTAATTAAACTTAGAAATTAGCACCCTGTATATACAGTATATATTCTTTGTGGCCATAACCGATACGTAGGTTGAAAAAGTAAGTAAAGTAATCGGAAGTATTCTGGGTACTGGGTAAATATCTTTTCATTGCAACGATCCTCGCTACATGGAATTTTTCATGGCTGATCGTAAGACCTGATAAATCTGAAACAAGACATCACAGTATCAACAGTTGCTTCAAATGATTTACAAGAAACGTGTAGGATAAACTCTGTGCCGTGTTAAATCAACAAGTACTCTTCATTATTAATGAAGATTCTGATAATGTCTTGATTTTTCCCAGTGAGAGCAGTAATATTGTCAACATAACATAAAAATATATTGGGAGAGGGAATTACCTTGTATACAGACTCTTTTCACTCAGAACCAAGGGAACAAGCTGCCGTTGATAATCAAACAATTTTTTATATCTCTTTAGAGAATATGAATATGTGTGTAACCAGGCAACGCCAACGCTTTCTCAAAGTAGATTTATAACATACCAGGGAACCTCGTAAGCCTCTCTGTAGGCTATAGTATCATATAAATCAGTCTCATGTTATCGATAATGTACCTGTCAGACAGAAATCCAATTTAGTCAAAACTGATTTGTTGAGAGGGGATAGAGTTCTGCAATAAATTCACAGAGCAGCGATAACGACAATTGTATGATAAACATGGCACATTTATTCATTATAACAAAAGTTGCAAATAACATGTTATGATATTGCAGTAGCGTAAATTATTGATCTAAACTGGAAACAAACTGATCTGTATGTATCGCGGATACAGCTCATAATGTGTGTGCGTGCGCGTGTGTGATCTCTCACGACCAGTATATGCGTGGGCCCTATGTTCCTACCTGGAATCCACTGTCATACGTCTACTCTTAGCATCCCGAGGGGCGGTCGGGTAGCCTAGTGGTTAAAGCGTTCGCTCGTCACGCCGAAGACCCGGGTTCGATTCCCGACATGGGTACGATGTGTGAAGCCCATTTCTGGTGTCCCCCGCCGTGATATTGCTGGAATATTGCTAAAAGCGGCGTAAAACCATAATCACTCACTTAGTATCCCGATCACCTACAAAGAGTCCCAGTGCATGACTGCTCAGTATGTTCAAAGGTTGGGTTGGAAACAGACGCTGGGCCCAGCATATATATGCATGCATACTGTATTTTGTGAGAATCTTCACAAATTCCCTATACAGACAACTATACCGGTACACGCAAGTTAACTAGTCAGAGATTTTAGGACCAACAATTGGTTGCTGTGGAGGGCATGTTGACAGAGATAACTGATCTGGAGAAGAGATGGAACTTTAAGGGGAGTATTTTTAAATATAATTTAAGATCACGACGGAAAAAGGTGAATAACCTTTCCAATAGGGCTGGGTGATGTTATAAATTTTCAAAGCATATCGGGGGCTGGGGCAGGCGGCGGAGGAATTTGGAAAGGGGGTCATGCTGTCCGTATCATATTGATATAGCACTTACTTTTGTAGACATGTGACGGTGTGGTGTTCAACATATTATTTTGAAAGAGCAAAGTCCAATTTAATCTTGTGTGAGCAGTATTACAGTGAACTCGAGTTTCGAATACTGTTTTTATCTGGATAAGAGGAGCGGCTTGTACTTATGGGTGCATATTTTATGTGAAAGAGGAAACTGTTTCCGAAACGTTGCATCATGCATTGCGTCATCCACGTGCGAAACGTCTTTGTGATGTTTTCAAACTTTCAGGGCGTTTTAGCTGATCCAGCGAATTTACTGAAACTAAAAAATCGAGTATATTTTCTGTTTATGGTAAACTTTTAAACATATGATGCACCACTTTGGCCTTTCCCCTACATCAAACTAACACTCCGTGATGTAACTGAAATTCTGTAACGGTTGAAAACCACGTCAAACCATAGTATGTATGTATGTATATAGCTCTTCAGTGTAACTGACAATGACAGAGCACTGAAGAGCTGTCATGAGACAGCGAAAGTACTATGTATGAAACTGATATAAAGAAGATGATGGACTAACGTGGACTTTATTATTTTATTTTATATATATATATATATATATATATATATATATATATATATATATATATATATATATATATATATATGTTTTTATGTATGAAATTTAAAAAAAAAATGGGTTGTTTTTCAATTTATATTTATTTTTGTGTGTTTCTTTTTGTTTTAACGCTGTACTCATCAATGTTCAGATGTATGACGGACGATTGTAAATAATCGGGATCTGGATCTGACAATCCAGTGACTGTGTTTGTGAGCAATGATCCACCCTGTCGGGGTACGACTACACACAATGAACCAAGTCACCGAGTCTGACCAACCAATCCATTAAGTCGCCTCTCACTAACAACATAATTTGCTGGAGACCTATCCCAACGAGGAATCCCCACGAGTGTATAGAAGTATGTCAACATTATCCAACATTTCCGTACAAATATAGGTGGCGTTGGGTGACACAGCGGTCAGTGACCCCCACTTTATAGACACAAGATCTCGTTAGCGTCCTTTGTCATGTATATACATTTGTTTTGTCGGTTTATAGAATTTGTATCCTTTTCTGTTTGAATATATAAGGCACAATGTGAGTTTCCGGAAGAAAGAAAGTTTATACATAGCTTAACACAGATGTATACTTAATATGATTTTGTTCTGTTTTGTGTTGATGTAAAAAATACAAAATGCTACCCGATGCATGACGTGGAATGTTGTTCATGCTTTCAGTCACTGGTTTGTCTGATCCAGACTCGATTGTTCACAGGCCACCGAGTATTGAAAATCTTTACAGTAATGATGCTGAGAGCGGCGTTGAACACCACTCACACATTATTTCGCGAACGTGTTGTGTTATATGATTATTCTAACTAGGGGTTTCTGAAATAAGTGTTTCAATATATTTTTGATATTGTAATTTACCACTCATAAGCTGCTACCACAGGAGATATCGCTTGGGTGAGATCATGTGATTATCTACCTCACCATGACGTCACAATCAAATGACACTACTGATCTCTTCGCCACTGAGGATGGTCAGTTGTACTTCTTACATTCAAGACACTGCATACTTATTACCCGTTTACAATGTTTAATTGTTGGAAGAATGATTTAGATATGTCTTTGATATCAATTATATCAGCACGCGTCGATAAATGTTTTAAACCTTTTTAGACTTGTGTTAATATATTTGATATCGAAAGACAGTCGGCGAGATTCTCTATTCCTCACACGCTCATTTTAAGTGACATCTGGCGTGTTGAGAACGTGATATCTTGCTTGACCTTGTAACAGATAATCGGTCTCATTTAACTGATCCTATCTCAGTTTTGTCAACAAGAACAAATTGCTCAGTTTGCTCCGGTATAACATGACATCCGTAAATGTTGTCTCTCTAGAGCTGTTGCTTTAAGTGTTTAAGAGGTCGCCTTCTGCCTTAGCAATTTCGACTGACCTGTCGCTCTCTGGGACTCACGTGTGCGAGTAAAATGCTTAAATAAGTGCGATAATACCAGTGGGCGGGGCGATTGTCTGGAATTAGCCAATCAAAATCACGAATATTGGCACCTGCGCAAAGAATCCAGACGACAACCTCTTACACACGTTCAGTGCTGCTGTAGCCACCACTGGGTCGTTTATTGATTATTATTTCGCAGGTTTATAAGTTTTGAGATTTCTTATCATGTCTGGTATTGATGAAGTGAAGTCGGCGGGTAATGTTCCGACAGACATAATGGTGGGCTTCATAGGGGCGGGGCGGATGGCCCAGGCTCTCGCTAGCGGCTTTATCGCCTCAGGTAGGCCCCGATTCGGAATAACGTAACATGCATGTGGAAATAACGTATGTCTATGTGATGGTTACATAACTTGTGGCACAGGTGTTTTACCGCTTTGAATGAGTGATAACTGAAGACATATATGTACTTTATTCTTATTGAATGTTCTTAGTTAGTTTTAATATTGTCGCGAAATGTATAGGATTAAAACTTTTGCAATTGAGAAACGTGGAAAATAGTTAAAAAAAAATTTGATATGTTGTAGACAAAACTTTCCATTTATGAATTTTTATTATAATTCAGAACATCAAGTTATGAACATCAGCTGAAATCATGTTATACACAAGCTTATATGTCAGTCTCATGCCAGTTAATAAAAACCAAAATTAACAAAGATTTACAATAAATATATATCATATTTGGTCAGGATAACTTTCCTCTTTTCTTCATAAAGAAAATCCAGCTATACTGTATTTCATCTTGAATGAAAACATGCTTCGCTATTTGTTTCCGACTGAATGTTTATTATCTCATGCAACATTTTGGTACAGATGCTGGTAAGAATTAAAATGTTGAAACCCATAAGTCCTTCCTGTCTTCATTGATGCAACAATGACTATATGCTTGTTGTTACCTTGCCTGGCTCTCAGCATTAAGGGGATAAAACAAGGACTGGTCAACTTGGAATCTGTATATTGTGTCTGAACGGTTGTTTGGTGTGTTTGTTGTTTAATGCTGCACTCAGCAATTTCCAGCTATATGAAGGTGGTCTGTAAATAATGAAGTCTGGACCAGACAATCCAGTGAGTGACACAATGAGCATCGATCCACACAATTGGGATACGATGACATGCATCAACCAAATCAGCGAGCCTAAAACACCCGATGCCACTAGTCACCTTTTACAACAAGCATGGGTTGCTGAAGACCTATTCTAACCCAGATTTTTAAGGGTTCTGAGTTTAATGTTAAAACTGTAGCATGGTATCTCAGTAGGCTACCACTATAAAACTGGCATTAGTCAGACTAGTACAAGCATGGACATCACTATATAAGTGCAATAATCTTGATGCCATTTCACCACCTCCATTATTTTGTTGCTTATAATATATTTGACAATGAAGTTGTTAAACCAGACACAAAACAGTAAGGTTTGTCAGATTTTGAAAGGAAAAACTGTTCATAGATCTCTAATTTGACTGAGGAGCAAGTTAATGAAATTCAACAGGTTTCAAAGTTCAGGTCAATAAATTAGATTTGTGTGTGCATGTGCTGAGGTGAAGCACTTTGTTGACATCTAGATAACCCAGATACAGCCGAATTCTGATACTCGTCCCACTCCAAGTAGGTCTCCTGGAAATGTTGCTCACTTACTACTCCATGGTGGACCCTGGCCGTGTTATTCCGAAACACAGTTAAAGATGGTACTTAGTGTTACCCTGCCTGGTTCATGGCAGTAACCATCTTCCAGAGGCAAGGGAGTTAATTGACTATATAAGTTTAGTTTCCACCCTTGTCGAACTAGGCTGGTATTATGGAGTTACATTTTGGCTAGACTAACGAGTCTATGCAAAGTCCAATCAAAATCGCGCAACGAAATCGATATCCGGTTTGTAAACTTTTGTGCAGTTTTCGGTGGATTGCAGGATTTGCAAAGCATGTGCACCGCCAACTCGTTGTCAGCAGATATTTTCCAAATCTTTTCATGTTTTTAATTAAGGTGCTCACGTGACTTGATGCACTTTGCGATGTAAGACCTGTTTTATCACAATACAGATCATGATTATCGATCTGATCGTCTTGACTGGGTGCAACCATTTTGTTTGGAACAAATGCAAGTTATACGCGAGGTGGAATCTGATTGGTCCATAGGAGAGGCTTAGAAGGGACATAACTCGTAATAACCACTGGTGGCGCTACGATCATGCCCAGGAATTCCAGCCTTGTTTGGGAAGGGTGGAAACTGGACTTTTAAAGTCTGTTAACTCCCTTGGCTCGAGACGATTGGCAGTAAAAGAATAAAACAAGGACTAGTCAGCTTGGAGTCTGAGTGGTTCATTCATGTCAAACAGTGGCATGGTATCTCAGTGGGGTAGCATTATAAATCAGCACCCCTCCCAACACATGACCAAACACACAGTATTATTCTCATAAGTAGAAAAATAATAATTGAATTCGGTATTAAGTGACACACTTATCATGCTTGATGGCTACTCGCTCCATCCTTTAAGCTTGATTAAACTGTTGACATGTTGTGGATTTGTTCCTTTGTAATTATGCAAACAGCTTGCTGGTTAAGCTATTTATTCTGTATGTAAGTTAGTCATGCTATGTTTATGTTGGAATATTGACTATAACTTTCCTCTCACCTGTTGCCACTGTGTATCCATATCAATCTATTCCATTTACTTACATATGTCATTATCACTGTGATGCAGTCATGTGGATGATAACACAGGGAATCTATGTGCATTTTTCGATATATACTTACTTTTGTTTCATCTTCATCAACTTAATTTCAATTGTGTGCCTCTACTACAAATCGAAGACGTGCAGTGTTGAATTGTAAAAAGGTATATGAAAAATAGGTGTATTCTACATGAAGCATGTGTGTGCCTCTGCTGCAAACTGAAAACATGTGCAGTGTTGAATTGTTAAAAGGGATATGAAAAATATGTTTATTTATTTATTTGTCTGTCTGTCTGTCTGTCTGTCTGTCTGTCTGTCTGTCCGTCCGTCCGTCCGTCCGTCCGTCCGTCCATCCATCCCTCCATTTATTTATTAAACACTTATTTACAATTCTGATATGAGCTCTGAATGAAGGATTAAAATTACTCATTTTATTTAAGATACAGTAATGACAGTATAACTCTTATTTAATTAAACACAATAACATAAATTATTTTTCCCATGTTAATTAACACTGCAAGGTAAACTGATACACAAAATACAATCATCATTATGCTGAGGTTTATACTTGTTTGATTTAGTGTGCCCTCATGTTACATGTATTTGCCGTTTCAAATCAGTTCCAGTAAAAAGAGCCTCGCAACATACTGACATTGTCACAGGACTGTAATATAGCCTGTGTGTTAGACACTTGTCCTATAGCCATCATGAATCTGACTATAAAATCTAAGTGTTCAATGTGATAAAGTGAAGAAGATCTCACCAGTTCCAGCCATATTAATATGTTTAACAAAAAACCCAGTGCAACACATGCCTTATTACAAAAGAATTGTGACATTTTGAGGTTTAATAAGTGTAAATTTAAAAATAAATGGTGTTAGTGTAGGTAAATGACCTACCAGTACTTTCATAACAAAAAATGTTATGTATAAATCTGCACTTCAAGTTCTTCATTGGTGCTTAGAGCCTCCATTGTTACCAAGGTTTTAAATGTTTGTGTGGTATATGTAAGTGCTGGGAATAGGTTGGTATTGGTATATTTAGCTAAAGCCAACTTGTTCCTGTCAGTTACATACATTTTTGGAATTTTCAATATATTCCATGTTGATGTACCTGCTTTAGCATATTTGATTTTTTCAAAATCTAAAATTTTAAGTGAAATTGTTGGTATTAATTCTGATGTTTTATGTGTAAGAATTTAAGATTATATGTAAGCTTTATGGTAAAATTATTTGAATTTTCTTGGGGGCACGTCATTCAATGTTATTGAAGACTTCTACAAGGTATTGCAGATCTGGGGACTGGTATAGGCAATGATGTACAATATTTAACTGCTGTTGCTGTAGATTTTCACAATCATTTGAAGAAAATCATCCAAGATGAGTCTGTGCACTCCCTCAACCCATCGTTGCAAACAGATTGCATCATAACAAGAATTTGAAAAGAATGTTTCTTCCAACTCAAGGTCAGTCAACTGGATGATGAAACCCCTGACAGTCTTCTGAACACATGGTGTATAATGCAGTCTTTCAGGAAATATTGATTGTCTCTCTACATGGTCTAGTTACACCAAATTAATTTTCTAAAACGCTGTACAGCTGGAGAGGTATGTGACATAAAGATGCCATGTAAACAGTTTGATGTATGAGGAGTGAGGAATATTATGCTTTGGACTGTAAACAGTATGATGTATCATATACACAACTCAAAAGAATTGATTCATTTGACAAGCCAGCCATATTTATGCCATTACCTGGACATTTAAAAAAAAAATGGAATGTAATTTGGCGCACATGTAGTAAGTTGTAGTGGGATGCAACATATGCATCTATTGCAATATTAATTATTATGTAATTTAGTTTTTATTTGGGCTTTTGCAACTAAATTCTATCAAAATTAATTCCTTGCTTTGTAAACATGATCTGCTCAAGAACCACTAGACCAGTGAAGATGAAATGTCATGTATTTAGTATATAAATACAGATATATTCTTTTTTTGTGTGATATTGTAATTTGTACATAAATATGACTTATACATTTCAACCATTCTGAAAATTGAAACATTTTATAGCCATTCCTCAGTTATTTTTGCTCAATATGTAATGAAATTTGGTAAATATGCAGTTACTTGTGGTTCTATTTGTTTGCAATATTTATACTTTGACCTTGTTTGACCATGTTCTTAGATTCTCTCATATAGTTCATATATTTTCCTCTGTAAACAGGAGTGGCAAAAGGTGCTGCGATTCGCTGTGCAGAATTGCATCCCTTGGGCATGCCAGAAACCTATGATTGTGGGTTTGAATCAGCACCATACCGGTGCTCATGGGTTTCACTGAAGTGGTAAATGTCTGAGACCTGCATCACTTTGGGCTTTCATCCCACATTAAGCTGACACGCCGCGATATAACTGCGATTCGCTGTGCAGAATTGCATCCCTTGGGCATGCCAGAAACCTATGATTGTGGGTTTGAATCAGCAACATACCGGTGCTCATGGGTTTCACTGAAGTGGTAATTGTCTGAGACCTGCATCACTTTGGGCTTTCATCCCACATTAAGCTGACACGCCGCGATATAACTGTAATACTATTAAAAGCGACGTTAAACCCAATTCACTTAGTCCTCTGTAAACTTCTTAACCTGTAAAACTGTCAGACTGATTGAGCTGCACTTTGGCAGGTGTGTAGCTCCTAATGAGAGCATTATATTTTGTTCAGTTTGCTAGATTTTAAAGCTAGTTATTAGTTTTTATGCCATAAATCTTTGAATGTCAATGGTGTCAGCAATTAAGTTTTTTTCTGTGGCTCTTTGTTTTCAAAACTGTTGTCTGCATATCCAGGTGAGCTACAGTGAATTTCTGAATATGCCAAGAGACGTTTTTGTATCCAGAGACCCAAAGTACAAGATCCAAATCACTGTCTACAGGAAGCCTACCTATTGTGACCAGTACATCCTTTCAACTGAAACCACCCCCTTAAAACTAAGTCTGGCATCATCTCCACACTGACCAAGAGATTCAAGAACATCTGCCCCAGCAACCTTAACCTTGACCATGAACTTAAGCATCTGCAGCATGCCGTCACCACTCACAACCAGTATCCTATGAAGCTAGTTAGAGGACCATCTCAACCACTCTACAGCCCAGACCCAAACCGATCAGACCTGTATCCTATGTAGCTGGTAAGAGGACCATCTCAACCACTCTACAGCCCTGACCCAAACCAATCAGACCTGTATCCTATGAAGCTAGTTAGAGGACCATCTCAACCACTCTACAGCCCTGACCCAAACCGATCAGACCTGTATCCTATGAAGCTAGTTAGAGGACCATCTCAACCACTCTACAGCCCTGACCCAAACCAATCAGACCTGTATCCTATGAAGCTAGTTGGAGGACCATCTCAACCACTCTACAGCCCTGACCCAAACCAATCAGACCTGTATCGTATGAAGCTAGTTAGAGGACCATCTCAACCACTCTACAGCCCTGACCCAAACCAATCAGACCTGTATCGTATGAAGCTAGTTAGAGGACCATCTCAACCACTCTACAGCCAAACCGACAAGACCAGTATCCCCCTCTTCAGAATCATGTTACAAGACTTAACATCAAATCAGCAGTAAGGATAAGAATTTATGGATGAACAACTTCTTTATTGCAGTTGTTCATCCATAAATTCTTTTCCTTTCTTAGTTCTCCATCTTCTAAATGCCTATCAAAGAAGTTATCAAATCAGCAGATTACTTAAGCACCAAGCAGGCATCGATACCATCGTCACTGGCTGCCCATCCTTTAGTACCAGCCTCCAACCTGATGGCTGTCACCCTCGATCCAACAAGCAACAGCCCCAAGATCTGTAAGACTGGTGACTCATGCATTGGTGAAACCTCCCACCCAGTAGAACATAAAACTTCAACAGCCAAAGTTGACAGTAAAATCAGCCCCCCTCAGACCACCAGCAAGAGTTGTCTTGCCATCAACTTCAGTTTGACAAGGTCCAGATCCTCTCAACCAAACCTCAGGACTTCACAGAAGCAAAACTCTCAAAAGTCACAAACCTTTCAACAGAGATCAAGGATGTCACATCCTGTCTGCCTATGAGGATCTAATCTAGCAATATAATATTTTTAACAAGTATTCAATCAGCTTGTTTCAACTTTTTAATCGTTATCGTTACTGTTATTGTATTTGTTATGTAATAGTGAGTGAGTGAGTTGGGCTTAACACCGCTTTTAACATTATTCCAGTTATATCACTGCGTGTCAGCTTAACGTGGGAGGAAAGCCTGAAGTGATGCAGGTCTCAGACTTTTACCACTTCGGTGAAACCCACAAGCACGGGTATGGTGCTGACAAACCTAGAAACATAATCGGGGCGAACCGTGTTATGTAATAAGGTAAATCACTGTTGGTATTTCAGGTGAGGGGATATATCTCACTTGTGGCATTCAGAAGTTGGAGCATATGATGTAAACTTGTGGCTCATGGAATTCTTCATCGTCCCTAGGCAAGAGAGTTAGGTAACTGACTATAAAAGTTCTGTTTCCACCCTTGCCGAACTAGGCATCTTGCCTTGGGAAGATGGGAATTCTTCTGGATTACTTGTTAAGTCAGGTCTCAAGGTCATAGTAGAAGGGCAAACAAATGCAAACATAAGAAACAGAACTTTTCATACAACATGAGGATAGATTATTGCAGGATAAGAACTTTTAATACAACATGAAGATAGATTATTGCAGGATAAGAACTTTTGATACAACATGAGGATAGATTATTGCAGGATAAGAACTTTTGATACAACATGAAGATAGATTATTGCAGGATAAGAACTTTTGATACAACATGAGGATAGATAATTGCAGGATAAGAACTTTTGATACAACATGAAGATAGATTATTGCAGGATAAGAACTTTTAATACAACATGAAGATAGATTATTGCAGGATAAGAACTTTTGTTACAACATGAGGGTAGATTATTGCAGGATAAGAACTTTTGATACAACATGAAGATAGATTATTGCAGGATAAGAACTTTTGATACAACATAAAGATAGATTATTGCAGGATAAGAACTTTTAATACAACATGAAGTTAGATTATTGCAGGATAAGAACTTTTGATACAACATGAGGGTAGATTATTGCAGGATAAGAACTTTTAATACAACATGAGGGTAGATTATTGCAGGATAAGAACTTTTAATACAACATGAGGATAGATTATTGCAGGATAAGAACTTTTAATACAACATGAGGATAGATTATTGCAGGATAAGAACTTTTAATACAACATGAGGGTAGATTATTCCAGGATAAGAACTTTTAATACAACATGATGGTAGATTATTGCAGGATAAGAACTTTTAATACAACATGAGGGTAGATTATTGCAGGATAAGAACTTTTAATACAACATGATGGTAGATTATTGCAGGATAAGAACTTTTAATACAACATGAGGATAGATTATTGCAGGATAATAACTTTTGATACAACATGAAGATAGATTATTGCAGGATAAGAACTTTTGATACAACATGAGGGTAGATTATTGCAGGATAAGAACTTTTAATACAACATGAGGATAGATTATTGCAGGATAAGAACTTTTAATACAACATGAGGATAGATTATTGCAGGATAAGAACTTTTAATACAACATGATGGTAGATTATTGCAGGATAAGAACTTTTAATACAACATGATGGTAGATTATTGCAGGATAAGAACTTTTAATACAACATGAGGGTAGATTATTGCAGGATAAGAACTTTTAATACAACATGATGGTAGATTATTGCAGGATAAGAACTTTTAATACAACATGAGGATAGATTATTGCAGGATAATAACTTTTGATACAACATGAAGATAGATTATTGCAGGATAAGAACTTTTGATACAACATGAGGGTAGATTATTGCAGGATAAGAACTTTTGCCTAAACACATGTTTTTGCACATACCTGCTGCTTATCAAATTTCATAAAGATGCATGGAATTATTTCTTGACAAATATGACATTTCCAAAATGTCTGAAGTGGCAGATACAATTCTGCTAAGGCAGGTATCGTGTGTATTGGAGTGCACATTCTCTTTCTTTTTTTTTGGTTTGTTTGTTGGTTAATGCTGCTCAGCAGTATTCCAGCTATATGATGGCAGTCTGTAAATAATCGAGTCTGGACCAGACAATCCAGTGATTGACGTCATGAGCATCAATCCGCACAGTTGGGTTACGATGACATGCATCAACCAAGACAGCGAGCCTGACCACCCAATCCCGATAGTCTATTCTCTTTCTGCTAAACTGGTTTCTAGAGTGTGGATCTCTGGTCACCCAGAACAAAAGCCAGACGGCGATGGAGAGGGAGAGTGCATCTCCCACCATATGTTTCAAACTATCTTGCTTGTCTTCAGTTGTCTTTAAGATGATCTAAAGAAGTTACAGTGTGAAATAATAGAGCAAAAAATGTGATCCCAAAAATGTTGATGTTTACATCTGGGCATACAGGAAAGATGTGATGTTTTCCCACCTTGCACTTGGGCAGTTTAATTTCCTACGAAGGATAGGGTTTTCCTTACAACTATTAGATATGTTGGCAGTGATATCATTCAATGGATAATGGAGGATGTAGTGTTTCTGGATATTTGTCCAACATGAACTAGCACAGTGCCATTTGGAGTCATGTATTAAAGACTAAAGTTTGAGATTCTCTGATTGCAGGACTGGTTCGAGCAGGCAACATCAGAGCAAGTGATCCTGACCCGAAGTCTCTCAACTGTATCAAGGTGAGTGACATGGATGTACACCCAGGACTTCAAACACGTGGCTACCCTCATGCCTGAATGAGGTTGATATTGATACAGCTAAATCATGGCATTTTGTGCATGAGTGAGTGAGTAAGTGAGTTTGCTTTATTCGTCTCCCCCCTCAAGGCCGGAAGTGTAGAGATTACTTTAATTTTATACCACGTATTTCGCATAATTTTGAATTACTGAAATTTAAATTCCTCAGTAATCAAATTAAATATTTTTTATTTTGCATATTTTTGATGAATGATGAACAATGACAACAGCTTTGATGGCATGTAATGTGGCTCAAATCTACAAACTACATACACCCCTTTTGATTGTAGTGTGGATGTTCGTTTTCACTGAAAATATTTGTAATTGTTTTTTCCATGTCTTAAATTAACCAAATCCCTCATGGTTGTGTTGCAATTAGTTGTACAAACTGAAGTTGTATACAATTTGGCATTCACATGGCGTTGAGTTGCAACCTTCAGACATCAATGTTCCGCCAGTCGAACGATTAATACAAATGTAAAACAAATAATTTTGTCCACACTTGTGTATATATTAATAAAAAATGTAATGATTTTCCTTCAGGTATATATTTACTTTTATTTACAAAGATGACAGCTGTTTTAATTAACCTATTTACTATTTTTATATGTTTGCCATAATGAATATTTCACGATTCCCCCAAGGAAATATGTATATGCTGCAGTGAGTTACATTCACCTAACATATTATGGGAAGAAGATCCATTACTCGACACAATGAATGTGAATTTTTATGTTCAAATACACGACAGATCATAAACATAATCATTATGGCATTTGTATTAATATTAAACAGTAACAGATACATGAACATATATTGCAGCAATGAAATTTACTGGGTGAAAATATATTGAAGATTGAAACCGTAAACTACTTCATGAAATGAATATTTGTTGTGTACTTCCTGCACCGCAAAGAAAATACCAGTATGTACAACCATGTTGACGTATGACATCACAGCCGGTAACCTGTTGTCACAATATAGCGTGTTCACTGTTAACAGTGTGCGATTTGTTGATTTTTGTGTCCCATTTTGTAGGAACTATTTTGGCATATGGAACCCTTATTACAATATTATAACCAAATGCCTCCTTTGCCAAGTGCTAAAACTATTTTTTGTTTGTTTGTTTTCTGTTTAACGCCTCACTCAGCAATATTCCAGCTATATGACGGCGGTCTGTAATAATTGAGTCTGGACCAGACAATCCAGTGATTAACATCATGAGCATCAATCCACGTAATTGGGATCAATGACATGCATCAACCAAGTCAGCGAGCCTGACCACCCGATCCCATTAGTCGCCTTTTACGACAAGCGTAGTTGCCTTTTAGGGCAAGCATGGGTTGCTGAAGACCTATTCTACCTCGGATCGTCACAGGTGGTCACAATCTGATTATATTTATATGTGTATGTGCATCTGCCATTATTGTTGGCAGTTTGGATGTGTTTTCTACATATGTATTTTTGTGCAAGCAAATACTGTCATGTCATATGATTTACCCTCTAAAATACAGCTACCCTATACAAAAGAAGCAAGTGTATTGGGGAACACTTGTAATAAATATTATGTTTTGCATACCAGCCTTGTTTCATTTGAGGTACTGTATTCGATGTAATAAGCACCCAGGGCGCTCTCAAAATTAGAAATAGGGGTCTCTTATTAGAATATTTTTTTGCCGGAAAAAAAAACAGAGTTGAAAGATAAATTTCGTGGTTTATGGTGACAGCCTGAAATGTTTATGTACGACAGATATATTTTTCTAGAATTTGATTGCTCATAACTAAGGGTGCATATAACACACGAGTGTGTATTATACGCGAATAAATAAGTCTTGTGTACATTGATCAATCGGAAGGGGTGCTAATTGGGATTGTTCACTAGCCAATATATCAGCAAATATCGCCGTGGGCGTTTATTAGAGCGGGACGCTTATTACGTCGAATACGGTAAGTATAATTATGCAGCTTCTTGCCTTTCAGTTCTGCCATGCAGAATCTCCGTGGGGTAAAGCTACACTTTCTCCTGTTTAATTTACATGGATTAAGTTTTAATTCCTTACCTCAATAACATCATTGTTATGCATTTCTGAGGCATCACGTATGGCAAGGAACATTGCTGCTCTGCGTCAACGTTTTCTTGTTGTTTTGGGATTGAAGCAATGTCTTGGCAGCAATAGGCTACACTGTATCTATGTTTGGGATTAAACATGTTTTCTGCTTGACTGGCAATTGTTTAAACATCAGGCTACCTCAATACCCCATGTTATCTTGAGAAGTAATCGAGTCTGGATGGTTGATAGTGTGAGCCATCTTCCCGAGGCTAGGGAGTTAACTGACTAAAAAAGTCCAGTTTCCACCCTTGCCGAACTAGGCTGGTATTATAGAGTTAGATTTTGGCTGGACTAACGAGTCTATGCATAGTCCAATCAAAATTGTGCAACGAAATCAAAATCCGGTTCGTAAACTGTTGTGCAGATTTCGGTCGATTGCAGGATTTGCAAAGCATGTGCACCGCCAACTCCTTGTCAACAGATATTTTCTAAATCTTTTCATATTTTTAATCAAGCTGCTCACGTGATTTTATGCACTTTGCTATGTAAGACCTGAAAGTTTTAATATTGAGCAAGCTGAGCATTATGCATGTCATACGTAATTTTAATGTTACGCAAAGCCTTCTTGGTAAATAGATATGGCGAGTTTTGTTTGAGGTTGTCCTTATGCTATTTGCCTGTCGAACTGGTTTCGATAGTAGCAACACGGGTAGTGACAAACTCTGTCGAACTGGTTCGACAGTAGCGTTGAGAGCTTTAATCAAGGTACTCACGCATTGCGTGCTGTAAGACCCGTTTTATCCAAACAAAGACCTTGATTATCGATCAGATCTTCTATACTGGGCGCCACTGTTTTGTTTGAAGTAAATGCAAGTGATACGAGAGGTGGTAAGAGGTAGAAAGAAAATAACTCGTAATAGCCACTGGTGGCGAAACGATAGAGCCCAGGAATACTAGCCTAGTTTGGCAAGGGTGGAAACTGGACTTTTAAATTCAGTTAACTCTCTTGCCTCGGGAAGATGAGTGTGAGCATGATGGCCGGTGTTGTTTATGTTTTATCAGGTCATATACTACTGACTCAAACTATGGGAACCAATGATTTGAACGAACCAGTTGTTTACAATACCGTGACACTGCTGCATTTGAAATCAACATCTAATCACAAGGAAATTTCATATCAGGTGGGGTTGCATTGAGACCTGGGGGAAGCAGGCCTAACAATAGAGATTGTCTCATTTCATTAATTGGACTACGCAATAGCAGTGTACTCATTTACCGGTAATTACCATTTTTTTGCAAGTAAATTTAGGCTTGGACCAGTAATTCAGTTGACTGCCTGTTCCCGTGGACCAACAAAGAAAGTACCTTATAAATCTTTGTTGTTGAACAAGACTTCGGCGATATTCATATAAATATATTTTTCAAATGAAGACAGCTTACCAAAATTTTTAGTGCGAGGAAATAACATTTTCCTTTCCTTCGGGAAACAATTCTTGACCATGATCAGTTAGGGGGTGGTAGTGTCATGGTGTGGGGCAGTATTACACATGACAGGCGAAGTGATTTGGTTATTGTGAATGGACTTTTGACTGGCCAGCAATATGTTGACGAAATTTTGCGTCCTGTAATTGTTCCATTCGCTAAAATTATCAGCGGAAATATTGAACTGCAAGATGACAATGCCAGACACATCATGCACAGGTTGTCAGCGATTACCTCTGGTGAGAAGGCACACAGACATTGGACTGGCCCGCTAAGACCCCTGACTTGTCCCCAATAGATCATCTGTGGGATGTTCTTGGGTGGAGAGTGTATACCAGAGACCAAGCAATGGCTGCGTGGCCCAGCTTGGGGTTGCTCTTCATGTGGAATGGGGGGCAATACCAAGGGCAACCTACACGAGTTAATCAACAGTGTGTCATCAAGGTGTCGTGCATGTCTCACCCAACATGGTGGACACACCAGATATTGATCTACATGCCTGAAATTAATTTTAAGACATTTATCATCATTACACCTTTAGTATCATTTCATCAGTTCCCCTATTTTTTGTCAGTAGTATAGATCAGAGTTCAATGCTTTTTCGAGCCAAATGTGGAACTGAGAAAGCATCTTTTTTATCAGATTTTGTTGAAGTGCACATGGATGTAATATCCCTGTTTCATTATATTACTAACATTAAAGTCGAAAATGTAAACACCTTTCAAGCAAATGATGATATATTAAAAGAGGAGCTGTGCCAACATTTTTTGGGGGGTGAACATTTTTTTAAATAAGTTCATTAAACAACAGGTCATAATATAAGGAAGTGTAATAATCATTAACTTCATTATATTTGCCCCAAAAGTGATAAAGAATTACATGATTAACTTCATTTCATTTCGCTTAATGTGACGTAAATGGAAGTGTATGATTTGTCAAACGGTTTGATTCACACATATTGTTTTGATGTGAAATTTACATGTTATACAGCTTTTTCAATGGATGAGAGGTCGGTCACATGGCCGTGAAACTGACGTTCATAAGTGTATAAACAACACATTTTGACGTTCATATGCTTTGTTTGAAATAACATTCATGTGACCTCTCCTTTTGATGAACAATTTTATTCCACGTTACATTTGTGGTGGTGAAATGGGGTTTAATGATGCCTTCAAGATTGTTGCACTTATATAATGAGTGTGTTTGTGTGTGTGTCTGCTTCTACTAGTCCCAACTTATGCTGATTTTATAGTGCTAGCCCACTGAGATATCATCCCAAAGTTTACACAGTATACTGACTCCGAGCCAACCAGTCCTTGTTTCAGCCCTTTAATGCCGAGCGCCAGGCAGGGTAACAACAAGAACCATCTTTTAATGTCTTTTGGTATGACACAGCTGGGGATCAAATCCCGGACCTTTCCGCTCTCCGGGCGGATGCTGTACCACTAGACCAGGGAGGCGTTGTTTGGCTGTCATAAACAAACACGAAGTTACATCTGCTAAATGAAACTGTGAAATACATCTCTCGTTGTATCAAATTGTGATATATAAAATAATAGGCGAGGTGAGGTGAAATTGGGTCAAGATTATTGCACTTATATAGTGACGTGCATGCAGGTGTGTGTGTCTGGCTGGTTGTACTAGTCCGGACTGATGCCCATTTATAGTGCTAGCTCACTGAGATACCATGGCGCAGTTAAACATGAATACTCCACTCAGTATACTGACTCCGAGCCGACCAGTCCTTGTTTTAGCCCCTTAATGCTGAGCGCCAGACAGGGTAACAACAAGTACTATCTTTTAATGTCTTTTGGTATGACGCGGCCAGGGATCGGGATTTCAGTTTGTGCAAGTTCATTGGAGTATGAACCTTCATTAGAGTAAGGGCCAAACTGAAGGGAATGCAAGCTCCTATGTTCATACGCTTTGGCCCTCACTCTATGAAGGTTCATACTCCAATGAACTCAAAGAAAGTGAAAGTCAGTTGTTAAATAATGTTGAAAGAGTTTGTAACTTTAGTATGGTCTATGTAGCAATACTTGTATCAGTGAAACAGGATGATACACATTGTTGGAATCCATGTAGCAATACTTTGTATCAGTGAAATAGGATGATACACATTGTTGGATTCCATGTAGCTATACTTTGTATCAGTGAAATAGGATGATACACATTGTTGGAATCCATGTAGCTATACTTTGTATCAGTGAAACAGGATTATACACATTGTTGGAATCCATGTAGCTATACTTTGTATCAGTGAAATAGGATGATACACATTGATGGAATCCATGTAGCTATACTTTGTATCAGTGAAATAGGATGATACACATTGTTGGAATCCATGTAGCAATACTTTGTATCAGTGAAACAGGATGATACACATTGTTGGAATCCATGTAGCAATACTTTGTATCAGTGAAATAGGATGATACACATTGTTGGAATCCATGTAGCTATACTTTGTATCAGTGAAATAGGATGATACACATTGTTGGAATCCATGTAGCTATACTTTGTATCAGTGATATAGGATGATACACATTGTTGGAATCCATGTAGCTATACTTTGTGTCAGTGAAATAGGATGATACACATTGTTGGAATCCATGTAGCTATACTTTGTATCAGTGATATAGGATGATACACATTGTTGGAATCCATGTAGCTATACTTTGTATCAGTGAAATAGGATGATACACATTGTTGGATTCCATGTAGCAATACTTTGTATCAGTGAAATAGGATGATACACATTGTTGGAATTCATGTAGCTATACTTTGTATCAGTGAAATAGGATGATACACATTGTTGGAATCCATGTAGCAATACTTTGTATCAGTGAAATAGGATGATACACATTGTTGGAATCCATGTAGCAATACTTTGTATCAGTGAAACAGGATGATACACATTGTTGGATTCCATGTTACAGGAGCTCGGTGTAAATGTGACACAGGACAACAAGGAAATTGTCACTCGCAGCAGTTTGGTTGTCATCGCTGTGAAGCCGCAAGTAGTTGAACCTGTGTTACAAGAAGTCTTCTCCGCTGTGTCTTCAAACAACCTTTTTATGTCCATAGCAAGTGGAATCTCAATATCTACCATAGAGCAGGTTTGTTTGTTGCTGTCTGTTGTCTGTTTGTTGTTTAACGCAGCACTGAGCAATATTCCAGCTATATGATAGCGGTCTGTAAATAATCGAGTCTGGACCAGACAATTCAGTGATTGACAGCATGAGCATCGATCCACGCAATTGGGATACGATGACATGCATGAACCAAGTCAGCGAGCCTGATCACCTGATCCCGTTCGTTGCCTTTTACGGCAAGCATGGGTTGCTGAAGACCTATTCTACCCCGGATCTTCATGTGTTTGCTGCTAAACTCAGCACTTGTTGATATCACAGCTATATAACGGCATGACTGTAAGTACTTGAGTCTGGACCAGTCAATGATTGATATTGTGAGCAATGATCCATGCCGTCTTGGTAACATGACAAGCTATGAACCAAGAATAGTTTTCTAGAGTGCAAATTCTAAAGGTGAAATAGTGAGTGAGTATGGTTTTACGCCTCTTTTAGCAATATTCCAGCAATATCACGGCAGGGGAAACCAGAAATGGGCTTCACACATTGTACCCATGTTGGGAATGGACCCCGGGTCTTCGGCATGATGAGTGAACGCTTTAACCACTAGGCTACCCATCCGCCCTAAAAGTGGAATAGAGATATGTGTAGTGTGTTGAATTTCACCATAGCAACTTGTTCATGTCTATAGCAACAGGAATCTCAATATTTACCACCGAACATGTGTGCTGGCCCTGAGTTTGAATTCCAGATTGACCACAATTATGACCTTTGTTCTGTCCACATCATTTCTGTGCTGACATAATGTTACATGTCTTGACAAAATTGCCCACACAGCATCACACCCAACTCACACAGACAACATCTACGATAGAATAGGTTAGTTTCTGATTCAGTTTTCATACAGAAATGTGAGAAATTTCTAAAGTTAGGACCCAATTTTTCTTTGGACCCAATTATTAAATGAAGCCGGATATAATGCTCAATACTGATCTAGACCTTTGCAATTTCAGAATCTGCCAAAAGGAACCCGAGTTCTGCGTGTGATGCCCAACACACCTTCCTTGGTGAGGGCTGGGGCAGCGGTGGTGTCTCGGGGGTCGGCGGTGGAGGAGGGGGACACGTCACTGGTGACATCACTGATGAACAGTGTTGGACTGTGCGAGGAGAGCCAGGAGATGCTGCTTGATGTGGTGACAGGAGTCAGTGGCAGTGGTCCAGCATATGTACGTTTTTAACAGTCTTGGAGTCTTCATATGTGACGTGAGGTGAGGTGAAATGGGGTTTAACGTCGCGAGGGATGGTGGTTTAACAGAGGCTAGAGGCTCTGCATATGTAGGTGAAGAGATGGAGATTTAACAGAGACTAGAAGCTCTTCATGTTTGTCTACAGTGTTTGGGCTGTACCAGAGCCAGAACTTGAGATTAAAGATTTGGCATGGAATAGAAAAGAATAATATAGGCTCTTTGTGGGCCATTGGAAATTTAAGAAATGGAGAAAATGTATTGAAATTGTTATGTTTTTTTTTAATTCATCATAATCTTTTGTCTTCAATCATTTAGTGTTTTGGATTTATAATGTCAAAGTTAGTGGTATGGCTGAAATATGTCAACATTGTGAGGTTTTCCATGGAGATTGCAATCTGAGCGTGCTGAAGGACCTGCTTCGTGAATAAGAGCCTCCAGCTCATAGTTGTTTATGTGCCACTAGCGTTGAGCGTCTGACCACAGCCCTGAGGCGTTATGGCCCGCCAGATGAGCTCCCCAACCTAGAAGAGGCGTTGACGAACAAGTGTAGTGGAATCCCAGAAAACCAAGGCCATCACCTTGCAAGCTGATCTAACAGATTTTCTTTCTTCCTTGGAGATGTTCAATATTTCTCAGTCCTTGCCATATTCCCCGATTCCCAAGTCACGGAATATTTGTAGAAATGTACCTATCTTGCAGAAATTCCATTAATCAGAGCATAGTCACCTTTTACGGCAAGCATATGCTGCCAAAGACCTATTCTCTCTACCCAGATCTTCATGGGTCTAAAAACATGTAGCAAGGGAAGTAACCCTAGAAGAAAATTATTTACAGGACAAGTCTAAACAGTCTTGACAAGTATCTCTTAGATAAGCTTGTAAAGTTTCATTCATGTAACGTCAGTAGTTTCTGAGAAAGCTTGTCCCCACTGCAGACATTAAGCACTAAGTTGATAAAGAATGGAGCAAGGACAATAACTTATGGCACCAATTTTCAAACTCGGTCTTGACATGAATCTCTTGCAAACAATGAGTGTGTAAAATTTCATTTCTCTAACTTAAATAGTATTTGAGAAGTGGACAGGCGGACGGAAAGATAGGACGAACTCCATTCCCATATCCCCCACCCCATTTCGTGGCAGGGGATAATAATGTCATTTTCTAATAACACATTCACAGGCATTTGCAGCAATAGAGGCTCTGTCAGACGGAGGGGTGAAGATGGGGCTCCCCAGAGACCTGGCCATGAAACTCGCAGCACAGACCATGTTGGTGAGAGCTTGTGCTTGACTTTACTCAGTAATATTGTTAATTTCAATTAAATATTTGATGTAGGTGTGATTTGTTGATGCTCCAGTGGAAGAGAAACAATATTATGATATTTTATAGGGACATATGTACCATGAATCCAGTGACTTAATAACTTGCCTGGCCACTATCCTGGTTGGTTGGTTGTTTAACGCCGCACTCAGCAATATTCCAGCTACATGTATATGACGGCGGTCTGTAAATAAACAAGTCTTGACCAGACAATCCAGTGACTGATACATGAGCATTGATCCACGCAATTGGGACCAATGACATGCATCAACCAAGTCAGCGAGCCTGACCACCCGATCCCGTTAGTCGCCCACTATCCTGTGACTTGTTACATTTGTCAGGCTAGGTTAAGTTAATTCCTACCTGCTCCACTCTCTCAGTAGAAAATTTCACCACTTCATGGACACCGACAATGTTAAATCAACGCATTGATATGTGACACCTCTTTGATTATAAAGCTGAAAGTGTTAAAGGAACAGAGTAAACTAAATCTAGGATAAATACTCTAGAATGTGTTCACAAATGTGTGCCTGCATTAGCCTACCAACTAGCTCGATGCAAATAGAAATTATGCTGTTTGAAACAATGCCTTTGCCCAAAACCTGCAAGTGACGTCGGTGTTTCAATCAAACAGACCATATTTGCATATGCTTGAAGAAAATTTATTTGGATAAATAAACACAGATTAAAAGTGACTATTTTATTGATTTTGATAGAATACTATTTTAAAAATATGGAACTTATAATGTTTTGTATAAACATGCAAAATAAGCATTTAAATTGAGTAGCAGTTCCACTGAAGGGAGATAACTCTTCACACTTACTCTTACAGCTTCTGAGTATAAGCCCAAACTTGGCTGTGAGCATAATTTTATGTTCATTATGTTGTTAGTATTAGACTATTATTACTTTAAAGAAGTATAAAAGTATAAAAGAGTTCTCTTGCACCAGATTTGTGTATTTTCAGGGAGCAGCCAAGATGGTTCTCGAGTCTGGAAAACATCCAGGTCAACTGAAAGATGAAGTTTGCTCCCCAGGGGGCACCACCATTGCTGCCATGCATAAACTAGAGAAAGCAGGGTTCAGGGGGGCCTTGATTGATGCGGTGGAAGCCGCGACACTACGAGCAAGGGAGCTAGGACAGAAGAAGTGAAACTGTACATAAAGTTTTTAACAGATTCAGCATTGTTATTCAATAGTGGGTCTAGTCTAATACTACCTGAGCAAGACCAAATCCTGACACTATGCACTTTGTAAAATAACATGGACTAAGGGCTATAACTCTGAATGCTCAAAATCTTAAAACATGTTTCTTTGTTGTTTAATGACGCACTCAGCAATATTCCAGCTAAATGGCGGCGGTCTGTAAATAATCAAATCTGGCACAGACGGTCCAGTGATTGACATCATGAGCATCAATCCACATACCGGTAATTAAGACATGACGACTTGCATCAAACAAGTCAGCAGGCCTGACCACCCGAGTTGCCTCTTTCGACAAGCATGGGTTGCCTGTTACCGATCCTCTACCCGGATCATAATGGCTCCTGCATTAGGTATTGCTTTTTTCTTGATGAGACTTATTGGCTGGTGCTGTATTGTCTAAGGGTTGAAGTTTCTAGAACTGTTATAATACATCTTTTCGAGGCAAGAGTGTCCACTAGCCTTTTCATCAGTCTTGTTTCCACCGATGTGACATCAAGCTCACTTTCCTGTGCTAAATATGGTTGGACTTTCACACTTATCCATAGTCCTATTAGAGAACGTTTAAAAAAATGTACATCCATGACTGATACACCTTCGTGTGACTTACCGCTGTCTGTCTGTTGACACGAATGTCTATTACATTTTTTAAATCCCCCAACAATTGCCTAGGTTTTTGTGTCAGGGATGAAATTGCAAATGTTTTCGTTATCTGATCGACTAGGCCGTAGCCTGCTATATTATTCGCCATCTTTGAAGCTATACGAGATAAGAACAGCGACCTGATTAGATATCGTTTTTTTTGGTATAAGGGGCCAAAAATGTGTCCTTGATGTGGCAAGGGTATAAACTAGGCTTTCATATGGGCTAGTAGACAAGCTTGCCTCCGGAAGATGGTTAGAACATGGAACTAGCCAGTGTGGAAATGTATCACCAGTGTGGATATCATCTTCACATGTATGTCTGTGAGAAATGTATGGCAAGTGATGCTCATGCACATTCACAAAGTTTAATATCTATGACCAAGTGAAGAATGAATGTGATATTAATAAAATACATTGAAACAAAGTTATGCGTGGTATCGTTTGAAAAACAGAAGAATACAGAAGACAAAACAGCAACAGGAGGTGTTTGTATAACATGCAAAATCAGAAACCACCCCAGGCCCACGTTGTCTTTAATGCCCTTAATTGTCCCACCAAAAACATGCATCATGAACCATTTTGACCTCACCAATATCTATCTATATACACATATGATCCTTAATGTCGTCAAATGCAGAACTACTCCGTCCTGTTCCTCCCGCAAGTTACGAGCACTTCTGGTTTGGCAATAGACACCCAATACATTACAACCTTGAAACAAAGTGCTATCCCTCTCGTTACCCAACAAAAGATGTCATAAGCATATGTAAAGTTATGCTATGATACTGTAAAGAGTCAGAATTAAATGTTTGAACTTTGAATGTCTTTCAATGTGTGACTGACCTTGACATTTGACGTGACCCTGCTCCGATAAGTGCCCCCTGACCAACTTATAGACCAATCTCTACCTTATCTTTAAACACCTCATATGGTACCTGAACATTTTCATAACAGTATTTTCTTTTCAGTATTGTGATGTATTACAGAAAAAAACAACCTCTTAAGTTTATCAAAATGTTTCGTCCTCCAATGCTCAATCTGAAATGAATACAACTTTTGTAGTTTGTCCTGCCTCAGGACAAGAATACATGTATTTTATGAAATCAGAACCAGTCGAGATTTTGATGGTGATTTTTCTTTTGTTTAAGTGGCGAGATTTTTAAAAATAGATTTCATAGACTGTTTAAGTTTTTGGTTCCCTCTTTTAATATGATCCTAGAGAGCTTTTTATGGCAAATATGGTATAAAAGAAAGAGCCTGACAAGTGTTTCTTCTGGAACTGTTGCATTGTTTTGCCGATTTGTATATTAAAAACAGAACATCCCAAATAAAGTGTTGGTATGTATATCACAAGGTAGTTTCTGTAAGTGTTGTCAAAAAGGGAAACATTCTTCTATTATGTTTGCATTTGGAGAAACCTCAATGTCTGCATGTATAAGATGCACCCCCTTCTATACAGGTGGGCCTTTTGTAATTTGCTGATCATGCCAATGAAATAAATGCAGAGATGGTACATTTTGGAGAAAATGAGTGAGTTATGTAAAATTGGGCTATTTATCACCAGCACCCTAAAGGTAGGCCACCATACTGGGTACCAAGGGGACTTACAGTACCTTTGCTACCTGCATGGGCCCTGGCAGGATTTACACCATTCCTTTAGTTACTTGTGATTATGGAAAAGTTTAGCCAAAATTATAACAAACAAATGTTCTACGATATAAAACGAGTAAAAAAACCTTCAGCAACACTAGCTGAAAAGTCTAATTGAATGCTGATTATGATACCCTGAACAATTTTAAACGACTCAACAATGCCAATGACGCATTAAATGTATACTCACATAAGTACTAAAGCCATAATTTGGTCAAGTTCCAGCTTTTATAAAGCCTAGGGGTTGTTAAATTCTAAAATGTATTCAGAATATAGAACAGAGCTCCAGATAAGCTGCATATCTGCGTAAAATATGCATCAGAAATATAAAATCCAACGTATCAAATATGCAACGAACATTACAGATACGCTATTTTTGAGTCCTATAAAGCTCTCGAACCCACACGACACCAGTTTGCTGGGACTAGATGAATAGTGTTTATAAATATTTAACTTAAAATACCCACATGTGTAAAAACTAATGGGTAACAGAAATTTGAATAACCAGATAGAATTACTGATACCCAACGTTTTTAAAATGCATGGGTAAAATACCCACAACACCAAAAGCTTATCTGGACCTCTGTAGAAATGATCTTATACCCCAAAATCTCAATACTACATGATTTCCTGTCATGCAGCAATGACACTTTTCACAAACACAGAAACCGCTGTTATATTCAATGACTTTATTTGTACAAAATAAATGCTACAAGCCACGAGTGGACTCCAGGAATCCCCAATGAAATGTGATGTAAAATCGTGGCTAAGTGCAACTATTGAGATTGATGCTAGTCTTAAACCAGGAACAAGTGAACAAAATTTATACAATGGTAATGATACTAGGAACTAGGTAGGATGACAAATGATAATGAATTTACAATATGGGATAAACAAATAGGATGGTTTCTTTTGCAAAATGCAAACTTCAACAATGAACACAAGCTTGTAATATTTCAATATAAATGTTCTCTAAAATCGCTGTGAGCCAGCATCTTGTATGAATGCTGCCTGGATTTATCAGGTTTAATGACAATGAATGAAAAGAATGCAGTATGTCACCTTAATCCATCCTAAATACATACAAAAAGGGACAATTGAGAGGACCAGTAACTAAAATTAAAAACCTCTATTTTAATGTATTAAAAATATGCATACCTTTATTTTAATACAGAAATGTTCTTTTTTTTTTAACATACAAAATCATCCAAGACTTATCCTTCTTTGAAACACATTTGGTAATCTGCTCACTTTGAAATATTGCACACTTTTTAACTTGAGACACTGAGGAAAACCATCATGAACTACAGCTTATTTGCTCAATCCATATATATCCTACCATCTTAGCTTTCTCAAAAAGATGTATGATCCTTTAAATAGTTGTTACCTTATTGATGACTAAAAACATGCCATGTTTCTCTACAGTTAATCACAAATGCCTTGTATTCAAATTGATTGTTGACAATACAATGGACGTTCTATGTAATAATTATTTTAGGACCAGTCCTAACATTGAACAGTCTCATTTGGAAACAGCAGCTTAATAGTTAAACCTAATATGAACATTAACTTCAGATAACCTTTAATGATTCATGAGACAAGGTCCCAGCACTAATGTTCAGACTGGCATTGAAACACACACCCAGGTAACAATTATACAATACTGGACAAAAACACACAGCCACCGACAACAAAGTAACCTTTAACAGATGAGTGACAGAGATGCATTATTGACTTGGCATATCAGTCAGTGGTGTAACTGCTAATGATAGCACAGTTCAGGTAATGTTAGGGATGATCTGATGATCCACTGTCAAGTTAATGTTATATTACTTGACCACTGTGTCATGAATATTTACACTTCTGTACAGTGTCTATCTCAGCAAGCCATTCCAAAATTAGGTCCTTTGCTGATGATAATGTCACCATAAGGTTCATTCTGCAGCACCTCGACACACTGGTGCTTCTTTAACACTAACAGGGTGTAGAAACGGGATGATGCTTGTTTACGATTATGCCGTCTGGCCATGTCCTTGAAGCTTAAAGAGTCTGAATATCTGAAAGCCAGATCAAATGTGTGCTGCATTTGCTGTGTTCGCTTGCTCCACCGGATCTCTTCTTGTTCCAAATTCTCAGGCATCGGTTCATTCTCTGCTTCTAGGTCATCAAAGGCCTATTGGGAAAAAAGAGGACAAATTGACACACATTATGATGTAAAATAGGTAAACATTATTCTAATGTAAGCTTAGTTGAGGCTGTTATTGTAAGGGTAACGCTATTTTTCAGGGCATTATCATTTGCAGAAGCCTAAGGTCTTCCATTAACTGCCCGACGAAGGAGGGCAGTTGAATAGACCAAGGGCTTCTGCAAATGATAATGCCCTGAAAAATAGCGTTACCGTTATTATAGCTAAAATGGATGGAATTTGTTATCAAATAAAAAGAAACAACAATATTGGTTTTCAAACATTTACTGCAATCAACACGAATGTCACTGACACACTTTTACAAATATGGAAACGTCATAGAACAAACCAGATAGCGTCACTATAGAACGTGACGTCACCTATCCCTATCCTATGACGTCACCTAACAATGGGCGTGATAATGGCCCCTCATCAAGAAATATGAGGGCATTATCAAGTTACAGTGGCCCACTCATTTTTGAAAACATGCGGGGGGTTTAATGATAATTCTATCCATTTTAGCTATAATTGCTAAATAATATATTTACCCACAAATAGTTAACTTGATGCAGAAGGGTTCAATCACCCACTTTTGTGTATTGGAGATATGTTAATAGGAGGCTGCTGATAAAAAAACCATGTTTTCTGAAAGTAAATGCCAAATATTAAGTGAACTTACTGGTGCAACTGATGGGGGTGCAACAGATGGAGGCCCAACAGACTGGGGAGGTACAGAGAAAGGAGCAATTGATGGAGGCCCATCTTCCATGTTGGGGTCAATGAGGTTGGGATCAATGGCAGTGGGGTCCACAGCAGTTATACTGGGTTCCAGAGTTGGATCAAGTGCTGGATCAAGTGCTGGATCAAGTGTTGGATCAAGTGTTGGATCAAGTGTTGGATCAGGCGGCATATCCACAATGCCATTGTTGAAGGACTGGGCAAACAGATCTTGTGCATTATTTGAGGGCTCTTCAGGAGCAACTTCTTTTGGTTTCTCTACAAAGGACTTCTCACTGCGCCGTGAACGTGCCAAAGTCTTGCTGTTGTCCAAGTTGATTGATGGTTCTTCAATGATTGTTGACATCTCTGACTGTCTTGATCTATCAACTGCAGAATACACAAACATAATAATCTTGATTAAACATGTATCTAAGCACATACAGATTACTAAACAATTTCAATCTCTATTCCTATAAAAAGTGGTTAAAGACACAGATTAATGCTCTATTAACATTTTTCTTTACAGACATGAAACTTTTGTGAATTTCCTTACAAATTCTGTTTAACTGAAGATGAGAGTCTTTACCTTGTTTATCTTCTTCCCGGGACACTTCAGGAGATTCAAGCACCAGTTTCTCAATTCCACAAATATCGTCTTCTTCCTTTACCTGCTTTGTCACCAAGTTCTTAGAAAACATCTGCAAAAGCAAAAGAGTCATTAAAGCAACATTCACAAAATAGCCAAAGACCATGTCAAATCAAAACTTAACTGGCATGAGCCAGGGCTAAAACTGAAAAAGGCCCGGTTTCAGAATAATTTCTGCCTATTCTTGATTCATTATATGCCCTTTTCATCTGACTATTTAGAGAAATAAGAAAGGAGCAAATATATTTAGAAACATTGAAATATATTAGGAACATTTTCCCGAACTGTAATTTGAGTGTTTTGGTGTTATTTTCTTCGAGGAATACAATCAAAATTATGAAAGATAGGCACCTCTTGACTAGAATTCTCCATCACCTTATGACTTACAGTTAATTGAATATCAATGTTAAAAAAGATCTTTTCTTAGGAAACAAAGTGCAACTAACCTTTGACAACGTCTTGGAGACTATTGGCCTACCAGGCAGGGCAAAAAGTTTTTCAACACCACCTGTTTCTTTCCAATGCATGAGCTTCTTGGTGGGAGGAGCAAGATCCAATGTTGTCACAATATCACTTGTGTCTGACAGCTGGAGCTTCATTGTCTCACCAGGAATGCCCTTATGTTCATCAACAATTAGTTTTCTTTTCCTCTTGGCTTTCTTTTCAGCACCTATATGAACATGATCATGTGGAATTGTCACGAATACAAACTGAAGCAAAGTTTTTTTAAGCTTCTGTGCAACAAAAGGCACTATAAAACAAATCACACTTTTGAAATCGTGACATAACCCATGTAACAATGAAGTGAAAGGAACAATGACACTACTAAATTAATTACATTTAAATATGTAGAGCATTAAATTCTACATACCACTAGGATATTATTCAGTCATAACCATAAATAAGGGTGAATTCAACTAGTCAAATTTCTATTGGTCCTGCAAGCTCAGCTCAGCTCAAAACAGTAAATTGTCAGTGAAGCCAAAATTAGTAAAATCTAAATAATTTTTTACATTAGTATACTTATCCTGCATTAGTCCTTAATGCATTTACTGCTTACTTTTGACAGAAATGAAGGTCCAGCTGACAAAAAAAAGTTGTTCCAATCAACTTGAAGCAGGACACATGCACAGCACCCAAGTGCCCACG